TAACCACCGGAAGTCTGAGAGTTAGATTTCTATGCGGACTGAGACATAGAGAATTGCAGCAGAGACTTTTCGCTAAAGAAGACTTATCATTCCAAGATGCCTTGAGAGAGGTTACTGCAGAAGAGGCAGCAGGTGGTGCCATCAAGAACATGAGGCCGATTAGAAGTACTCCAGAAGCTGTGTCCGTGCACCAGGAAGGAGTCCAAAGGAACCCAGAGGAGGATCCTGACGATGAAGTAGACCGTCTCTACCCCACAAAAGAAGGGAAGCAGAAGGAAAGCTCTTCAGCTGTCCCCAAGTGCCTCGGTTGTGGAGGTCGTCACAAGAGGACCGACTGCAGATTTCGCTCCGCTATCTGTAGAGCATGCGGAAAACAGGGCCACATTGCAGCTGTGTGTCTGGGCCGTCAGAAGGTACAACCTCGAGAAGAATTGTGCCTGAAAGGTACCAGGGTCCCCAGCCAAAACAGGGTGGGTTTCTGTGCTTCGCAAAGAAGCATTTATAGGACAGGCTCACACAAGCCCATTAAGAAAAAGTTGTCACTTAAAGTGAAGTTACAAGGGGTTCCATTGGCTATGGAACTGGATACGAGGTCTGCACTTTCAATCATTTGCATGCACACATTCAGGAAGATTTGTTCTGGCAGCGGATTTCAGGCCAAACTGAGGCCTTCCGACATTGTGTTAACAGACTTTCAAAACTCCAGAGTGTGTGTTAAGGGGGAGGCCACCCTTAACATGCAGTACAAGGATTTTGAAGGTCCATTAGATGTAATAGTAGTAGGGGGTGAGCGAACGAGTCTCATAGGACTCGATTGGTTTGAGGCCTTGGGAATACACGTCACAGGGCTCAATAGCTTGCAAACAGTAGACCTACAGGAAGTCTGCAAAGAATTTGCAGATGTTTTCAGCCCACAGCTGGGCACGTACAAAGGACCCCCTGTGTCATTAAAACTAGACCCCACTGTCACCCCTATTAGAATTAAAGCAAGAAGGGTTCCTTTTGCTTTGAAAGGTAAAATTGACACCGAATTGGACAAATTGATTCAGCAAGGAGTCTTAGAACCTGTCGACTCCAGTCCTTGGGAGACCCCCATTGTCACGCCTCTTAAGGCAAATGGGGACATTCGCATCTGTGCAGATTACAAATGCACTCTGAATAAGGCATTGCAGCAACATGCCTATCCTGTCCCCGTGGTCAGTCATATTCTGGCCTCCCTCAAGGGGGGGCGTGTTTTTGCAAAGCTTGACCTAGCTCAGGCGTATCAACAGTTGCCTGTTGATGCTGCTGCTGCTGTAGCTCAAACCATTGTGACCCACAGGGGGGCATTCAAGGTAAAGAGGTTACAATTTGGAGTAAATGTTGCTCCTGGAATTTTCCAAAGCATAATGGAAAACACACTACGGGGTATACCAGGGGTTTGCCCCTATTTTGATGATGTCTTAATTGCTGGAGACTCTACACACAACTTAGCTGAGAGATTAAGGGCTGTCCTGCTGAGGTTCAGGGAAACGGGCCTCAAACTCAAGAAGGACAAATGTAAAATTGGGGTGCCTTCTACAGATTTTCTGGGATTCAAAATTGATGCTACTGGGATTCACCCTGCTGAGTCCAAATTAAAAGCTATTATGCATGCTCCTAGGCCAAAGTCCAAGGCCGAACTACAGGCCTTCCTGGGCTTTTTGAACTTTTACAACTCCTTCCTTCCAAACAAGGCTAGTGTAGCCAAACCTCTTCATAGGCTCCTGGACAAACAGGCAGTGGTCACAAAAGCATGAAGCAAGTTTCAATAAAGTTAAGGCCTTACTCACTTCTAACAGTGTGCTTGCACATTTCAATGAATCCCTTCCTGTGTGCATCGCTTGTGATGCTTCTCCTTATGGGGTGGGATCCGTACTAAGCCACCTCAGACCAGATGGAACTCAGGTTCCTGTTGCATATTACTCCAGGACCTTGTCTTCTGCAGAGCGAAATTATGCTCAAATTGACAGGGAGGCTTTAGCTGTTGTTGCTGGAATCAAAAAGTTCCATGATTTCCTATATGGCAGGCATTTCACGGTCTTCACTGACCATAAGCCTTTGTTGGGGCTGTTTACCACACATAAACAAACCCCCCAAATCATCTCCCCCAGAATGCTGAGATGGTCTATCTTTCTGTCTGCCTATGGTTTTTCTTTACTTCACAAACCTGGGAAAGAAATGGGCCATGCTGATGTCCTCAGTAGATTACCCCTGCCAGTAGTAGAGGCTGACCCTGCACCAACAATCAATATCCTCTCAGTTCAAGCCTTGCCTGAGTCCCCTTTAGATGCCAAGGATGTGGCTGCTGAATCAGCCACAGATCTCACACTTTCTCGTGTCCTATCTTGGGTTTTATCTGAATGGCCAGAGAGCTGTCCAGGCACTGAGTTTCAGAGTTTCTGGTCAAAAAGGAACGAGTTATCCACTTTCCAGGGTTGTCTGCTTTGGGGGAGCAGAGTTGTCATTCCTACCTCAATGAGGACTAGGGTCTTAGGTTCCCTCCACAAGGGTCATCCTGGCATTGTACGTATGAAGGCGGTTACGCGCAGCCATTTGTGGTGGCCTGGGTTAGACAGAGACATTGAAGCTAAGGTGCATGCATGCCACCTTTGTCAACGCTCACGCCCTGAAATGCCCCAAGCTCCTGTACATAGATGGGAGGAAACACAGTCTCCATGGTCTAGGGTGCACATTGACTACGCTGGGCCCTTTCAGGGTCAATTCTTCTTGGTCTTGGTTGATAGTCATTCAAAATGGCTTGAGGTTGTACCTGTCTCTTCCACCACCACTGCAAAGACTATTCAAGTACTGAGGGGGATTTTTGCTTCACACGGGCTTCCTGATGTCCTCGTATCTGACAATGGCCCTCAATTCACTTCTTCCGAATTCCAAGCTTTCTTACAGGCCAACATGATTCGTCATGCCACCTCTGCGCCCTTCCACCCGTCCACCAACGGTATGGCTGAACGCATGGTTTGCATCACCAAGGATGCTTTGAAGAAACTAACCTATGGAGACTGGCATCACAGGTTGGCTGACTTCTTCCTTTCTTATCGCACTACACCTTCCACTTCTACCGGGAGGACCCCAGCTGAACTTCCTTTGGGGCGCAAACTGACTACCAAGCTTGACCGGTTGCACCCGGACAGACTACCTTCTACAATCACACACCCCAGGGCATCTAGACAACTGCTAGTGGGTGCCCCGGTTTGGACTCGTAACTACGGGCCTGGTCATTTATGGGTCCCTGCCACTGTGTCCAGAGTCACAGGTCCTTTGTCCTACGAGGTTTCCCTGGACGACGGTCGTGTCCTGCGACGACACATCGATCAGCTACGCACAAGACGGGACCTTCTCACTGAGACTCCTGGTTCTTTTCCAGGGGGGAGGGGGATCCCTATGGGCAAAGGGAAGGGTGTGGGCTGCAGCCTATCATTAACGAGGGAACCACAGACAGCTCATTCCAAAATTCCGCGAGTGCTCCAAACAGGAATTCATGGAGTCCAACTAGAACTCAGGCACCAGTGCCTACTCCAGCCAGGGAATCACCCCGGGGGTATAGTCACTACACACCAGCATCATTCAGTACTCCAGTCAGGGAGGATATCCGGGAGCATCCAAACAACCCACACCCTGCAAGAGAGCTGGCACACATTCCGTCTAGTTGGCCCAACACTGCCACTGCTCCTAGAAGGGGGCAAGCACATAGGGAGGTGGTCGAGGAACCGAATCCCGATTACAACACCTCTGGCATCACTCAGGGGACAACTGAGTTTTGGGACAGTACTGAAACCCTAGTAAGCCCAGTTACAGAACGGGAACATGAGGGAAGACAGCCTCTTGATAGATCTAGGACAGACCTGGGAGGTTCTACAGAGTTGCCCAACAGTGGCAGTCACTTAGGAGGGCCAGAGAGCCTGCAACCAGGCAGGACAACCAGGTCAAACAGAGAAAGAAGCCCTGGCCTGACGAGCCCGGTGGGCAAGCAAGCAGGCCAGGCATTGGAGCACAGTCCTTGGGAATCACCAGGGCCAAGCAAGGGGAACAAGCATACAGCACCCCTCAGTCAAGGGGTACTTGGAAGGTATCCAGAAATCAGGAGGTCACAGAGAGCTAAAAGATCTCCTAAGTATTTAGAAGATTTTGTAACCCTACTGGCAAAACAGAGTTAACAGAGAGTATTTTGTACATGTAGGAAAAAATGGAACACTGGGGAACAATAGAAGCAAAAGAGATAACTGGTACGAAAGCTAGTATGGGTATCACACTCATATTGGGTTGCATATTATTATTTGTATGATTATAGTCTTAGCCGGGGGGGAAGGGGTGTCATGTCCTGAGCCTGTGAAGGCAGGCTCGGGGCATTGCAACGGTCCCAGGCAGGTGCAAGCTGCCCGGGACCAGACTGGCTGTCGCTAGCACTCGCGCGCATGCGCAAAGTGCAGGTGCATCAAATGTTGCAGTTTGGCCCAGGGATCGCCTATAAAAGGGGCAGGGAGACTTGGGCGTTGTCGGCGTCTTGTAACCAGTATGCTGAACAGAAATAAAGAGGTTCCTGAGAACTACAACTGCTTCTCGCGTCATTGCCATTTCGCTGAGGACTTAACACTTTTACCTCAAAGGTTAACCAAATTTGGCTTGAACATTCACATGGGACTTGAAGAAAAGAGGCCTTTCCTGTTGTGAGTGCCTCAATGCAACACAGAATCTGTGATATACTATTGTACTGCTAACATGGAACATGTTGATTTCCTGGCGGTAACAAATGAAGGAAAAATTATATCTGTAATCCAGACATATGTTTGTAATATTTTAGACCTTATATTTCATATTTTATGTTTTTACCTCTTGTGTTTTTATTGAAATGTGATGTGAATGTGCCATATGATAAATAAATAATATGTAGTGAGTATCTCCAAGGTAATTTCTATAGGACAGGAATATATTGTTGCTATATTTAAAAAAAGCAGACACAAGCCTGAGGAGCTAATGGTTTTATTGCATCAAAGGGTCTTCAGCATCATATTGGAACCTGGATTAAATTCAGAAGTTTGGTTCCTTGAAACTCAACCAAAAATACAAAAACACTCCTTAAGCTTATCCTGCATTTCTTTGCATCACTCTCCTCCTGCTGCCAACTACATTAACCATGGGAACTCTGTCCGCATTTCCCAACCTTGGCAGCTAGCTGATCCAACTTGGATTTTACTTGATCCAGGCCTTGGACCAATTGCTCCAGTTTCTGCAGCACACCGGGATCCGAGCACGAGGTGCAAGAAATTGGGGGTGCTAATGTGGGCTGTGGAACCACAGTACCTAGAAGAAAACAAAGCAGACTTTCTCACATTGGATCTGCCATTTCAGCCTCTCTTTATCAGGCAAAATCAATTGCAATAATTCTTTCCTCACCACCACCCTTTATATAGAGACCCCCTATATTGACATATACCCAGAAATATAGCAGTTAAGGGTTCAGCCACATGGTTCCCTTTTGGGAAAGGGGTTATAATTGTTAGGATTTTAACCAATAAGGAAAAGCAGATAGTGACTGATAAGAACTATTTCTATCCCTAAGAAATGCATAATCTATGAGTGAATTTTTGCCCATCACATTACTCCAATTGAGGGGCAAGAATTTTATTAAGAAGAAAAATTGGTTTTGCTGGCTCATCTTGAGATGCTTAATAGCATTATCTTCCTTTATGTGGCAGTGATTTACTTCTTATGATCAGTATTAAAAGGTACAGTAAAGCTTCTTTAAGGTTAAGCCCAATTCCTGGATACATCCATGTAGTTTGGAAGTGATTTGCCATTGCCTTCCCCCAAGATAGATTTTCAGCTATACAATTTAACATATAATCTTGGTATCTTGCAATGGACTTCCATCTAAGTACCAACCAGGTTTTGTTTTGCAAAGCTTTTCAATATCAACCTAGTTGCTGACTTCATTTTCCTTCAGATTCCTGAACATCACCCCATTTGAGCCAGACAGGAAGGCAATTTTGCCTTCTCTTGGAATATAGCAAGTTACTTCAGCTACCCACTGGAAATATTGGTAAGCTTTGTCTCCATTTATTAATCTAATGCCATTTTGAAGCCATTTATGCTGCACACCACTTGGAATTAAATTCCTCAAATTAATTCTTGTGCAAATAAAATCATTATCAATCCAATCATTCACCTGATCTTTACTCTTTTAAAAGGTCCACACAGAAATTAAAATAAAATCATTTCCACAATCTTTGATATTCAGTCACGAGTGCCAGTGCTTTAGTAGCCAGAACAACACTATCCATATACAATAAACGATATCAGGTAGCCTGGCAGAACTTCGTGGTTTATAGGAGGACCAAAAAAGGCCCTTGTTAAAAAAAAAAAATTATGTGGTGGCCACAGAATATCCAAACCTGCTGCAGAAAAGGTTATAGGAGAGAAAGTGAATGGATTTTCAGGTGAAAACTGTGTTAAGTGGCTGAATTACTAATTAGGAACAGTCTTCACTGCAACATCACAATAATGCATGCATAGATTTGCAAGAGCCCTTAGCCCTTTCTGGGTATATGAATGGGTACCCTTCTCCGTTCCCCAAGATACCAAATCCTATTACCATGACTGGCACAAATCTTCCTTTTCAGTTGGATATCTATGAGATCTGAGAACTGTCGCAGGATGAAGGTATGCTCTGTGGCAGGACGGGAAGCCATGGCGTGAAGCTCCCGCTGAGCCAGTCTGCTTGAAAACGCTGGACCAGCCTTCCAGGAAAAAGAAAGTCAGTGAAAGACCATTGAGTACTGGTTGTCAAAGGAAGATTGTAGAAATGAAGAAGAAAATAGGGTTCTCTCCTACTTAGCCCTCTGCCCTGTTCGATGGTGGACTGAGCTTCAAGGACTACCTATGACCCAAAATTCATCTCCTCCAAATTCCCAATGCTCTACAATTATAGGAAACATTGCTGCCTTCATTTAATATATGTCCTTTAAGCACTGTAAAAGACCTGAATGCATGTCGTTGGCTAGTGGAACGGTTTGCCTTCAGAAGCTGTGGGTGCTCCATCACGGGAGGCTTTTAAGAATAGACTGGACAGCCATTTGTCTGAAATGGTATAGGGTAGGAGTAGGCAACCTTGGCTTTTTTATGACTCATGGACTTTAACTCCCAGAATTCCTAAGCCAGCCATGCTGGCTTAGGAATTCTGGGAGTTGAAGTCCACAAATCATAAAACAGCCAAGGTTGCCTACCCATGGTATAGGGCAGTGGTTCTCAACCTTTTTAATGCGGCGACCCCCAACTGGTCATAAGTTGAGGACTACTCAACCGGTCGTAAGTCGAGGACTATTCAACTGGTGCAGCACCGTTTGCAGAATGGGACTTTTGGCGGGCTCAGCAGGGCAGAGACAGCCTGGACAATTCCTATTGGCTTTTGAAAGCCAATAGAATTAGATTCTATTCAAGAGAGTCATTTCTATTGGCTTTCAAAAGCCAATAGAATAAAAGGGAGTAGCACAGCTAAGGAAAAGGGGAAAAAAATGGCGGACTGCATTGTTTGGCGACCCCCGTGAAATGGTCGTTCGACCCTAAATGGGGTCCCGACCCACAGGTTGAGAACCACTGGTATAGGGTCTCCTGCTTGAGCAGGGGGTTGGACTAGAAGACCTCTAAGGTCCTTTCCAATTCTGTTATTCTGTTATTGTTGGCTCCCACCATTTCTGAAAATTAAAATCTACCTATCTTAAAGTTGCCAAGTTTGAGAAACACTGCAGCAATGCAACCGTGCTCTGAAATTTATCTTTTAATCCAGGAAATCTGGAAAGGAAGGTGAAGATTGCTTCAGGGAGGAATGTTATGGCATCCTCAACGGGCAAAAACAGAACAAGGGGCAAGGATTTACCAAAGAGGACAACCAGAAACACAGCCTCTGCTTGATAAACTGGCCTAGAGGCATTGCAGTCAAGTTGCAGGAAGCTGGTGCATTACCTCTCACAAAGCAGCACCAAAACAGCTCTGGCAGAACATGTAAGGGAGTGTTCAGTTTGCAAATGTTGATAATTACATATCAACCCCTCCTCCTCCTTAGGTTTCAGACAGGTTAATTATTAACTGTTACCATCAAGCTGGACTGATTTTTGGAAAACAGTTTCCAAACACCCTTGGAAACTGTAGACTTAGCAGTTTGCCGACAGCAAGACAAGATTCCTCTTGGTTGCTACCCAATAAGCACGCTGTCCCTATTGAAACCTTGGCAAGCAGTTGCCATTAGAAAACTTTTGTGCTTAAGACTAGCTTTGGAAATACAGGTAGCTCTCATTTAGCAACTCCAACCGGGCCTGGCAATTTGGTTGTTAAGTAAAATTGCAACTGGGCTCATCATTTTCCTTTTAGCTTTCCTTTGCTTTACTGACCTGCAAAGGTCGTACATGCAAGCATTGGTCCCAAAGTTATTTTTTCATCACTATTGTAACTCCGAATAGTCAGTAAATGAGGTAGTCACTAAACAAGAAGTATTTGTATTATAGACAGACAACCTTTTTGAGTTCATTTGGAAGTCTGAGAGTGTGACATGGACATACTAACAAAATGGTTATTGTGGAGAGGAGAAATTTATGTATTGCTCTTTGGTAAAATAGGTGCTATAATCTGTCATATACTGTACAGCAGAAGACAAATTGGCAACAAAGCTTTATACTATCCTTTCCAGTTCTGTCTGGGATATTCCTTACCATTCTCATCTTACTTTTTTATTTTATTTTATTTATTTCAGTTCATTTATTTCATTTTTTTCCTGGATCAGTACACACATATTCACAGTGAGCACTGGGTTGGAGCCAATGACTATTTTTATTTTGGTAAAAATAAAATGTGTGATAATAATAGTTATTAATCTGTGCTTTTACAAAGGTGTGGTACAATTCCGAAGAACCTAGTAATTACAAAACTCCGTCCAGTAAAAGTAGTTCATGAAATAAAAGTCAAAGCGGTAAGTACATGTTCATACTAACACAGACCAAACACAACAACCACACACAGGTTTCAAACAACATCCCGTAATACTCCCATTAATTCCAACAAAATAAGAATTAATGTAGGAATAGTTAAAGAAAGGAAGGTGGGATAATCAGGCCTCATTGCAATTAGATACTTATAGATATAGGTGTCTATGTGTATGACTGCTGCACACATTGATTGATCGATTGATTTAATAAATGTATAGGCCACCCATTTCATATACGGTGGTACCTTGGTACTTATCAGTTCCAGGAGGCACGATGAGTATTAAAAACTATGAGTACCAAACAATTTTTCCCCATAAGGAATAATGTAGCAAATCACAAGGCAGCTGACACCGACAAGTTCTAGCTTGTGCCTTGAGTACCAAATAAACAATGGGTACCGGGATGAAATTTTCACATCAAAATGCATTGAATACCAAATTCAATGAGTTTCAAAGCAGTTGGGTACCAAGACATTGTACATAATTCTGGGCCGTTAACAATTAAAGCAAAGTAAAAACAATAAAAGCAATAAAAGAATGAAAAACAACAAAAGAGGGGATGGACAAGAAAGGTAAATAAGCTAGATCTCACCCCAACAGCAAAGCGTGTGATTCGAGCCCTGTCAGCCTCCTGGACAACCTCTGCATAGTCCAAGGGATCCCCAGTTTTTTCTCCACCAGTCACAATCACCAGGAACCTCTTGGCATTGTTGCGAGCGCCTTTCTGAGGGGTGAACTGTTCCCTAATAAATAGGAGAGGGAGAGGGAGGGAGAGAGGGAGAGAGAGAGAGAGACTGAAGTGCCATTGCCCACTTCCTTTTCCAGTCCTGTATCCTGGTCTAGCAGCAGACATTCCAAGGGTTGAGGATTCTACCATAGCCATGGCTCCATGATAGGGGATGTGAGCCTGCCTAGACCCAACCAAGCAGGAAGGAGCTCAGGCCAGGGTTGGGAAAGAGGAAAGGCTGCCCAGAGACCTACACAGCTTTCCGGATGGCAGTGGCCATGTAGGAAGAGCCATGCAGCTGACGGACTTCTTGTAGGACAGAGTTTAGGTTTCGGTCATTTTGGAAACTTCTGAAGTCAAAATGCTCCTGAATTATGTTGGAAAACTGCAGGAGGGAGAACTGAGGAGGAGAGGAAAAAGAGGATGAATGAGAAAACAGCAATCTGGAATTTCTGAACAATTCATATTCATTTACTAATTAGCTGCATTCCCACAACAGGCAAGGTCAGCCTTGCCCAAGCTGATGCTTTTTGGATGGTTTGTTAGATTATCCCTGAACTCTTATGAATCCAGTTCAAATAATAATAATAATAATAATAGTAGTAGTAGTAGTAGTAGTAGTAGTAGTAGTAGTAGTAGTAGTAGTAATGTTGGAAGGGACCTTGGAGGTCATTAGTCCAACCTTCTGCTCCAGTGTTGGAGCATCCACAACCTCTGGAGGCAGGTTGTTTCACTGATTAATTGTTCTCACTATCAGGAAATTTCTCCTTAGTTCTAGGTTGCTTCTCTCTTTGGTTAGTTTCCATCCGTTGCTTCTTGTCCTGCCCTCAGGTGCTTTGGATAATAGCTTGACTCCCTCTTCTTTGTGGCAACATCTGAGATATTGGAAGACTGCTATCATGTCCCCCCTCGTCCTTCTCTTCATTAAACTAGACATACCCAATTCCAGCAATCGTTCCTTATATGTTTTAGCCTCCAGTCCCCTAATCATTTTTGTTGCTCTTTTCTGTACTCTTTCTAGAGTCTCAACATCTTTTTTACATCGTGGAGACCAAAACTGGATGCAGTATTCCAAGTGTGGCCTTACCAAGGCATTGTAAAGTGGTATTAACATTTCACGTGATCTTGATTCTATCTCTCTGTTAATGCAGCCTAGCACTGTGTTGGCTTTGATTTTGGCTCCTTTACTGTTTGGATTATACTTCCAGATCAGGTTATTTAAGTGAATCCATTTTATCCAATGGATTATTATTATTATTATTATTTGCTAGAAACCAGAAGTAAATGCTGCAAACCGGCAACAAACATCAAAAATCACAGGCACATGACCAGGATGCTACAAATGGCACCAATGGTGAGCCAGTTACCAAGCACCAAAAATGAATTCACATGACTGGAGGAAGAGAGGGTGGTATGCAGTCATCATAATTTTGAAATCAGGTCATAAGTCAAGGACTATCTGAATATCTGTTGCAATGGACGCTGATCCCCTAATGCTCCATGGTCTGGTTTCCTTCCCTCCTTCCTTCCTTCCTTCCTTCCTTCCTTCCTTCCTTCCTTCCTTCCTTCCTTCCTTCCTTCCTTCCTTCCTTTCTTTCTTGTCTCTAAAAACTAAATTGTAACAGAATTCCCCAACTTTTCCAGCTTGGCGGCCCAGAAGGAAAAGGAGCAGCAGGGAAATTCAAATGGACCAGTGCACAACAGCGGCGCTAGCCTGGGTGTGCATGCACAAGTGGGTTGCTCGTACCCATGATGCATGTGCTGATGCCTGTGTGCATGCGCAAATGGTTCGCCAGTGCTTGGGTGATGCAGCGGTGCTAGCGTTCCTGCACATGCGCAAATGGGACTGCTAATGCCCGTGCAGGGGTGCTACCATTAGTGGTGTAGGGCTTGCCAGCTGCAGGCCGCAGCCCGGTACCAGGCTGCGGACCATAGGTTGGGGACCCCTGTTTTAGGCAGTTCTTTTCTTTCCACCATTTCTTATCATGGCTCACAAAGGTATCCCTCTCCTCTGTGATGGGTGCCTCAACTGTCTTATGAAAGTCCCGCTCAGAAGAACAAAGTATTTTCCCATTACTGCATTCCATCCCATTCCATTTGGCTTCAGAGAGCAATCCATCTTGAAAAAATTATCCCCCTTAGGGGATTCTCCATCCCTCCAACTGACCAGAGTATTTTCAGGAAAACTTTTACTGAAGAGTCCAACAAATAATTTCTGTGCAAGAAATTCCATAAATCGAACACTGCCTGACCCATCGATCAGTAACACAATGTCTCGGGCAATATTTGGACACTCTGGAAAGAAAGGAGCAAAGGGAAGAATCTCATTTCAAGATCAAAGCTATCCTCTACTGTTCTCAACTTATCACAGTCAATGTCCAGCTGAGCGCCTCCTGAATATATTAGTAGTTTCCTAACAAACAGAAATTCAACTGGTGATATTTTTTTTTTCATCTCAGTATTCTACTTCATTGTGGGGGGAGGGAGTCACAGGCTGAAGTTCCAGGTTTTAAAGATACTGTCATTTTGCCGGGGGGGGGGGGGAAATGCTGGCAACATCCTTTGTGATTTTTATAAAAAAAATCTCTTTCCAGAATAATCCTAATATATCTGAATGAGCAATAAAGAACTGCATTTGAGTACATAGAGAATGCCCTTTTCATGACTTTATAATCATTATTTTGATTTCCAAGTGGGGTTGATAGAACTTGGTTTTACCCATTTTCACTAACACTGAACCCCCTTTATTTCTAATCAATACAGAGCTAGAAATTATGGATGGCAATTCACTATATATATAGCTTATACCCAAGCTTGTCTTCAGAAAAAATCTAATTTGTTAACAAAAACTGAAGTTTCTAAAATGCTGGATTTAAAATAACGTACTCTACAAACGTTAATATAAAAAAAGAAATGTTACTTATTTTCAGTGAATCTTAAGGTCTCTCCCATTTAAAGATAAATTATAACATTTATAAAATGCAGATTTCAATTTTTACACTTTTTGCTTACCCTGATTTTCTGGCTTTCTCGGGGGAGCTGTTGTGTCATCATCAGAAAAAGCATCAGAAATAGCAAAAGTGACTGATGACACTACACAAAAGGAAAATAGTAAATCATTATCAAAAATATCAATGCAATTTTGAACAGAAGATACTAATTTTCTAAGGCCAGGAGAGTGCTAATGTGTGTGTGTGTGTGTGTGTGTGTGTGTGTGTGTGTGTGTGTATGGGTGTATTGCTCCTCGAAGCACGAAGCTGAAAACACCAGCCTGGAGATGATGAATGGGACTTCGTCGAAACGTCGCCAAGACACTTCCAATTTTACGCGGGAGAAAACTCGAACAACCAAAGACCTATATATATATATATATATATATATATATATATATATATATATATATATATATATAGCTATATGCATAAAATGCATATATCTAAGAGGAGAAAAAGAAATGTAAAGGATCTGGTAATTTGTGTCTCCATTTCTCTATCACTGTGCCTATTAACTATATAAATATTTGTAGATACTTAGGCAGGGTTGGCTAGATAACCAAATGGTTGTCTGATTTTTTTTTTAAAAAAATTATAACTCCCATTAATCTTAGTATAAGACAAAACCATGAAGTTTAGGCGCCACTAGACCAGTAACTGCATTTATCCTCATTCAACTGCATAAAACCATTAAATCCTTACCACAGCTTTAAATCATTACAGCACTATTTATATGCCAAGAAGGTATTTGTTAAATATTCTTAAATACACATGTAATTTTAGTCTAATAAAGATGGGGTAAGGGTGGTTTTCCAGCTGTTGTTCCAACTTCCATCAGAAACAACCAGCAGGGCCCATTATCACAGCAGAGTTTTTTCTTCGACATTATCTTGAGGCATCACAGATTCTTGAATTTTCTTTACAATATCAACAACAGGAGCCACAACATATGAAATGTCAGGTAGTGAATGCGGTCTTTTTTTAGATGTACAAGGGTCTGTTGGTATCTGCACTAGAAACACAGCTATTCCTGCTCAGAGATTTAATTGGTAAAGATGGATGTTTTGAAGAACCAGTAACCCATTCCAACAACAATATGAATTTGTATCCTAAAGAGGAAGAAAATGGAGGCAGATGTCCATTTATAGAGGCATCTGCAGGTTCTATATCAAAAAGTCACAATGAAGCTGCAATCACACAGTAAAAGCCCTCTTCCTTTTTTACATGTTTTGCAGTCACATTATACACACAAAAGGAATGGCCACAATCCATTCCTGACTTTTGTCACCTTCTTCCTGTAAGGCAAACAAATTCTTGGGAGCATGTTAGCAAAACAGAAATATAAAAGGAATGTGTACTAACTGGGCTAACCCTGAAGTGCTTGGTTCCGCCCCAGATGCCCTAGCTATTTAACTATAAATAATTTTTCCCAAAAAGAGGAACATCTTAGTGCTTGGAAAGAACAAGTTTGTGTGGGTTAATGACCATAGTAAAATAATTTAAACACAAGGATGCCCTAACATGTCTGAATTCAGGAACAAAGACTGAGAAAATTGGCAGTTGAACATCATTCCAGTGTTAGGAATTCAACAGTGTTTGCCTTGACACAAAAATGTGAGTCAATCAGAATAGAACTGGAAGGGACTTCGGAGGCCTTCTAGTCCATCCCGCTGCTCAAACAGGAGACTCGTGTGTATGAAAAATGTGTCCATCTATGGTCACTTGCATTTTTTTGCATCTCAGGTAAAGCAGCACTAATATATCTTCTTTTAAGTTTTCTCTGAAGCAAGTTGGGCTTATTTCTTCCTGTGGAAACTTCTCACAATAGCCATGTGAGTTGGATTGGGAGATTGTCAGCCATGTAGAGTAAACCAGACAGGAATCATCACCGGAAGTGCTAATTCTACTTTATTGTAAAGCTACATTGAAAGAATCTCTCCCCTCCATCTCCTTTGCAGCCCAAGAAACCAGGGAGGGTCACTTTTAAGTTTCTTGCCCCACCAACTATCCAGCTGTGGGCTATGTTGTCTCTTATCTCACCAATCCCTTGTTAGTGTCTCTTTGCCCAGAATCCCAAAGTCTTAACCACATACCATTACAGAGACCAAGGGATATTCCTGGTTTAATGGAGATTTAAATATCTATCTTATTTAATCCTGGACATTCTTAATTAGTACCCTATAGTGGTTTTCATGTTGGTTTGATTAAGATTATTTTCTTAGGGATGGGTGGGCTGTGACCCCCAGACTGCTGTTATGTTCCACATATGTGGTCCCTAGGGCTCGGATCTTGACTGTTCATAAAGGGAGAAGGATGAACGCAGACAACACAATGTCTTGGCATTTCATTTTCATGAAAAATATAACATTAACTCTAAAACAGCCATGTCGTGCAGAGTCATATCACCCTCAAAACCTCCCCCTAACTTTAGGTATGATGTGGTGACTACTACTGAAGGGGACACCTTAGGCTACCCTAAAAAAAATTAGTGATGCCAACTGATCACTGAAAGTTGGCTTTCAAGGAAAAGCTCAGAGAGCTACCCCCTGTGTCCATCAACAAGTCCTGCCTGACACAATGATCTCTCTTTACCTGACCACAGGACCAGCTGCAGTTGAAATATTTGTACCCACCTGCTACTCCAAAGAAAAGGAAGGTGACAATAAAAACTCCAAGTGCTCCCATGGCTGGCCTCTAAATTGTTGTCTGTAAGTTTTTAGTTCTGAGGGCAAAGGCTGTTTGGAGAGTAAGCTGGACACTGAAAGAGCACTGACCGGAACAGGTCATCTGAATAAAAAACAGCTTCACTTTCCTGGCAGTAGTAGTCACTCTCTGATATGCAAACATTTGCTCCATTAGGTCATTGAACTCTTGAGCAGTAGCCACGTTGAGTTACTCTATAGGTAGTCCTCAACTTATAATCATTCATTTAGTGACTGTTTGAAGTTACAGTGGCACTGACCATTTTTCACACTTATGACTGTTGCAGCATCCCCACAGATGCTTGGCAACTGGCTCATATTTATGACCGATTGAAGTGTCCCGGGGCCAGGTGATCCCCTTTTGCAACCTTCTGACAACAAAGTCAATGGAGAAGCAAGATTCACTTAACAACTGTGTTACTAACAACAACTGCAGCAATTCAATTAACAACTGCGGCATGAAAGGTTGTAAAATGGGGCAAAAGTCACTTAACATCTCACTTAGTAACAGAAATTTTGGGCTGAATTGTGGTCATAAGTCAAGGACTACCTCTACAGAAATGCAGAAATATGAAATGAAATGCCTTATGTAGACATCAGTGCCACCTTTAATGATGGATGGGTATCATTATATATACTTGGATAGATCCTTACTGAATATCCCCATGATTAGCTTGCCAGGCTTAATTCCAAGATTTGCTTTGACCCTTTGCACCTTTGATCTCACAGTGGATTGTGGTTCAGTTTCTCCCAGAAGTTTTGCTAACCAACAATTATAATACCAACCACCACTCTGTCTAATACTTATCCTCTTATCTTCTAAGTGCCCCACTGGCCACTATGCACAAAGATATGTTGTCACTTGTACGGTAAAGTTTGCAGGGCTTTGCCACTCAGATTAGAGTTTCAGAAATAGCACAAAGGCAATTATTTTAAATCCAGCACTCCTACCTTGCTATCATTTTAATATGAACCAAAAGAGCCAATTAATCCAGCATTTTAAAATCTCTCAATCAATTCAATCTGAAAAAGTATGGTTAATGTATACTTTGAAGTTCTATTTTTAAAGAAAAGCATCAATACAAAGTAACTTTGTATTCTGTATTTACAAACATTTGACTTCTATGCCTGGGGGAATCAATTCCAACTGTTCAGCTCATTTGTTCTATAAGGTTGAAATGAACATGATTTCATTTTGGATTATCTGTGCAGAAAACTCATGCCCTGCCCACTTATATGGGGAGCTGAACAGGTAGAATAGTTGTTGGCCACGAATTGGCCTTTTGCTCTGAAGCCAATCAACAGCTGTTTCAGGAACTGGTTCCAAGAATAGAAGAAAAGTAAGGTTTATCATGACCACAATGGATTTGGATTTAAAATGAATCTAGAAACTGGATTCAGGCAGATTTAAATTGTATATTTACACCACCATCTCTCTTTAAAAATTTGATCTTACCTAATGGAAATCAAGATAACCCTGGGATCAATGTTAAGCAAATATTTAGCTATGACAATGTCAACTGCTTGCATTTATTCATTCTACTGACCTATTCAGTTAGTGAAGGCCAATTTAATTGTGGCTCCCTTGCATTTAATGTTCTTGGGTGTTTGTATATATTTCCCCATGATCCAGCAATAGTACAGTATATCTGAATGGCACCTAATTCAGAAACCAATTGGATTCATTTGTGACAAAAATTGTCAAATGAAGTAGTGAGAGGCTTTCAAACAGAGACTGGATGGTCATTGGTTAGAGATACTCTGCTAAGTATTTCTCAAACTTGGCAACTTATTAAAGATAGTCTAGTGTTTCTCAACCATGGCAACTAGAGAAGACTTCTGGGAGTTCAAGCCTACACATCTTAAAGTTGTCAAGTAGTAGACCTTACATTGAGCAGGAGGGTGGGTTAGATTACCTTGAATGTTTCTTCAAAGTACAGGTAGTCCTTGATTTACAACCACAATTAAGCCCAACATTTCAGTTGTTAAGTGAATTTTGCCCCATTTTATGACCTTTCTTGCCACAGTTGTTAAGAGAATCTCTATAGTTGTTGTTAGTAAAATGGTTGTTAAGTAAATCTGGCTTTCCCATTGATTTTGCTTGTCAGAAAGTCAGAAAGAAAAGGTGTGACCCTGGGACACAGCAGCAGTCATAAATATGAGTCAGTTGCCAAGCGTCCAAATGTTGATCATGTGATCCTGGGGATGCTGCAATGGTTGTAAATGAGAAAAATAGTCATAAGTCACTTTTTTCAGTGCTGTTGTAACTTTGGTCACTAAATGAACTGTTATAAGTAGAAGACTACCTGTAATGATTCATTAGAAGCTGAGAACAGTTGCCTCGTACCCATAGCTGTGGAGGACAGACCCAGTTTTACTCACAGGATTTCTGTCTGTCATATAATCATGACAAGAGAAGAACTTTCAAACCAGCCAGTCAACCATGTTTGGCATTTTCTGACCAAAGTTCAGTCCTCCCTCTGAACTTTTCTCTGAAAAGCATCTGTGCCTAAACTTCCCGGGGAAATTAGCAGAATTCCACCGGGCACTTTGGCACATCTTCATGCACGTGTCCTCTGAATTTGGCTCAGTCACGCAACTTCCAATGGTGGAAGAGCTCAGCCTGAAAGAAGCAGAGTTACCAGTTGCCACACGCCTTGATCTTTCTCTGCAGCTTGAGTACACAAGACGTAATGTCTTGGTTGAGACTTATAATCATGGAGAATAATCCTCCCCCCTCATCTCACCTGTCCACAGAGAAATTGTTTTAAAGATGATGAGCAAGTGTGTGATGGGGAAGCATCATATCTGAGATAGAACAATCCCCTCACCTCCACATGCTTTGTGGTGGGGCACCTGTTAAATCTGTCAGCAGGGGGGAAAAAAAACAAGATAATTACAAGGTTCCCTGGAAGCTAGAGCTATATAATTGGAGCCCTCACTCTTCTTCTATGTTTATGAGGGCAGCCCACTCAAGACCATGAGGCTCCCAGCTTGGATTCTTCTCCTCCTGGAGATGCTGTTTCCCTCAACTGCCCAAGGAAGAATACTCCGCTTCGTTACGCTGGTAAACAGACTGGGACAATGGCAGAACTAGGAATCCCAGGGTCTCTGGCTGAACAAGATGATTTTGACTAGCCTTCTCCCTTAAGTGCTCAAACCCATTATTTTCTCCCAGTCAGGATAGCCAAAGGGAAAGCTGGCTGGAGATAGAAGAGCAGAATCCAGCAGCTAGGGAGAACATCCCGTTAGAAGAGAAGGCTGGTCTTTTGCTAGGGTTTTTAAAAAATAGACTGGACAACCATTAGATGGTGGTGTTATAAGACTTCTGCCTTGAGCAGGGGGGTTAGACTAGAAGACCTCTGAAGTCCCTTCCAGCCCTTTGATTCTATGTTCTGTGTTCTCTTTAGCCCAGCCTGTAGCCAGGGATTGGGAATCACGGTTTTGTTGGTTCTTGGGATGGCTTAATTAGATCTCAGGTGAAAAGGGTGGCCTGCCCAACATTAGAAGTTCAACAAAAATGCTTTATGTGATTACTTTGTCATGTCTCCACTTACGTTGCATGAAAAAAGGAAAGCAAAAAAAAAAAATCAAAGTTGTGCCTATGGCAGAGAGAACTGAAACATACTCCAAAAGGATGGGTCTTATAGCAAGAGAAGTTCTAATATGTCGTTAAGCACATGATCTCTGATGAAATGTAGAAGAATGTTTCTGTATATATATTTATTTTCAAATGCTACTGGAAAACCTACTTCTTAAACAGTCTGCTGCTTATTTTCTTTTCATGTTAGTTTAGGATAGGTTAGAAACAACTTTGGTTTGGGATTATATCTTGACTCATCAGCTGCATTATAGCCATCTTCCTCAGAAAGAAGAAAAGATGAAAAAGAAAGCCTGGGAAGAGTGGGGAGGAAAAGTGTGTGTGTGTGTGTTTGTGTGTGTGTGTGTGTTTCTATGTCTAAGTGAGAGAGAGAACATGGTTCGAATATGAAAAGATAAATTATAGTAGGGCCTATTTTGTATTTGTGAGTCAAGAGGGTTCTTACCTCATGGCCCAAAGTACTTTATTTTCTTACTTCTGAACATTATGGATGAGCCCAGATATCACAGCCCCCCACTTGTAATTTATGCTCATTTGGGTGTTGATTACTGGTAGGGTGGCATTTTGGTATTTGTGTTCCCTTTTTAGAGTTTATTGGCATGGCTTGCCCTGTCAATATTGGTGAGAGTGGTCTTGGTTCTTTGGTTGGGCTGTTTACTGTTGGCTTCTTTGGCAGTTCCTTGCTTGGGGTATTGTTTACTTCTTGAGTGTTGGTCTGATGTTAATCTTGCGGTTAATCTATGCTCATCTGGGTGTTGCTGAGGAAGTATTTTGATCTTTTTGTTCCCTTTTTGGCTTGTTCATTGCCCCTTTTTCACAGTATGCAGATGTTGTTCAGGTTTATGTGTCAATTGATGGCTTATTTGTCAGAGTGCCCAGGCTTCCAGGAATTCTCTAGCATTTTGGGACTTGGCTTAGTCTAGGATGGTTTCCCAGTTGAAACTGTGGATTAAGTCTGCCTATATCTTGTGAAACTAAAGAGTTTTCATCATGGCTTCCGACTGCTAGTTGGTGTTCATGGATGCACGCTGCTAGTCTTCTGCCTGTTTGCCCTATGTAGTTGCTATAGCAGTCCTTCCACAGTATGTTGTAGATGACGCCTGTTTTTTCTTCTTTGGCTGTTGGGTCTGGTTTACTTAGGATGGTTTCATTGATTAAACTGAAGTATTAAAATAAAGATACAAGATAATACAAGAAGTGCAGTTTAATTTACTGAGACTTATCATTTCAAAAACTACAAGCTGTTCTGTGAAAAATTCTCCTACCTGTGGAATCTTATAAATGTTCAAAATGTGGGCTATGTGGAAAGAGCTACGAGAGGCTAGGCCACCAATGATATCCTAGAGTAGGGGTCTTCAAACTTGGCCCTTTTGTGACTTGTAGTCTTCAACTCCCAAAATTCCTCAGCCAGCATGCCTGGCTGAGGAATTCTGGGAGTTGAAGTCCACAAGTCACAAAAGGGCCAAGATTGAAGATCCCTGCCCCAGAGTCTTCTCTTCCCCCTTGAAGTTTAAGGCACTCTCTTGGATCCAAAAGAGAAGTTTTACAATGTTCTGAATTGCAAAGTCTTGCAAGAAAACCATTGTCTAAATTCTCATGCATCAATGTGATGTTGGATAATAGATTAATATTCTCAATCTCAAAAGTGGCAAAATACATAGAAAAGCAATGCTGATAGTTCTGGGGGATCAGTCTGAAATCCAAATGCAGAAGTGCACATTATTACATTAGAAAAAGAAGCAAACCAGTTGTAAACAAGCTAGGTAATCTGAAGAATTTTATAGAGAGGCCATTAATGTTGGAATTTATTCAAAAGAGTGTCTGTCCTTCACACATTAGCTGATGGCAAATAAAATCTACCGATATTATAGCAACTGAGTAGAGCCATGCATCTCAATCATTTGTAAACTTGCAAGAAATTTGTTGATTTTTTTTCCACTTTAGAATTCTGCTTCTAAGAGGTTATTGGAAATGTTTTTATCTGTCCCTATTTAAGTTGCTGAATTTGACTTCCCACACAGATAAATGTTGCAAAAGCCCCCAGTATTTGCTCTATGGAAAAAGGCAGGTATGCCTATGATGCCATGTGGTTGTAATAGTCTGTTAGTGGTTTCTGAGATGTTTTTGATGTATGGTAGTGTTATCCTTTTTACAACGTGTTTGTTGTGCTGTGTTGGGTTAAGCGGTCAGGCACTTTTTGATGAAGTTGCAGACTAGTACAGAGACACAGAGACATAAACAACATCTACCACTGTGCAATAGGGACAATCAACAAGCCAAAAAGGGAACAAAAAGACCAAAACACCACCCTAGCAGCAATCAACATCCAAATAAGCATAGATTAACCGCAAGATTAACATCAGATCAACAGTCCACAAGTAAACAATACCCTAATCAAGGAACTACCAAGCAAGCTAACAGCCCAAAGAACCACCAAGACCACTCCCACCAATATTGACAGGGCAAGCCACTAGAATATAAATTGAGAGCAAACTCCACTCCCTACTAGCACTGATGATGTTACCTAGTTTGGGCAATGAAATGTCTGCAAGAAAGCAACCAAGCTCAGAGAGCACCAAGGACCCCTCCTGTCCACCCTGAACTACTAATATTCTCCATTATCTTCTAAATAGGTTTCCACAAGTTGCTGTGTTTGGCTAAAAAGTTGGATAATTTGTGGTTCAGCATATTATGGGATTTTAGCTTTGGCACACGGTATAAACAAGGTCATTCATGCTAAACTATAATTGTTTACTTATTTGGGCATCCTATGTTGGATAAACAGAGCAATAGTGCTTTACTGATCCTGGTTTAAGGTAGTTATGTGGGGCCCTCTTTAGAGTCAAAGAAAAACTACTTGGATGTCTATAATTGCCAATCCTGCAACTCTTCCTTTCTCAGGTTTATCGCCATGGTGACCGATCTCCCCTCAGCACCTACCCTACAGATCCCCACAAAGCAGCAGCTTGGCCACATGGTTTCCAGCAACTGAGTGAGGTATATTCAGGGTTGAATTTTAATTATTGTTATAGCAGCCTGTGCTGGCATGCAGAAGAGGGGTTCAAATGACAATCCTTGCTTGGTGCCAGCTGAGTCTTACCTTACTTTTCAGCCCCAAAGCAAGCAGGATCTTAATATTTGCTCTTTCCCTGTCATAGGTGGGCGTTTTGCAACAGAAGGCCCTGGGGCAATTCCTCCGAGAGAGATATGCTGGATTTTTGAGCCCTTCCTACAAACCACAAGAAGTAATCTTTCTTTAATAATACATTGGTCAACATAATTCAGCTTCTTTGAATTCCAGGGGCAGCAAACAAACTGAATGCAACCATAAACAGGGGAGACAAATAATAATTAAAAATAAACAGCAGCAACAATGGATCCAAGCCCTAACCGCAATCTTCCTCAGACTTTTTAGTTTGTGTGTGTGTGTGTGGGGGTGTCTTTGGCTAAATCCTGTGAAAACCAAAACATCTTAATCTAAGACCAACATTTCTCAAAAAGTTATTCTGAAAATAGTCAGGAAATCTCCCAAATGTTTCTCTCTTATTCGCTCAAGTTGCCTTGGGCAACTTGGGTATTTGAAGAAAATTCTCTATTAAATATGTAGATTAAGGTCAAACTAATGGAAGGAAGTAAGCAGTGTATATAGGTTGGTACATATGAGTTGCAAGGGATTGTATTACCTCTGCTTTTCAAATAAAACCCATCAGTCTCTTTCCTTGCTTAGTTATATTTATACATGCAGAATAATGATTGGCTTATTAATAGTTCTTAGTTTGTGTTCAGAAATTAAATAATACAAGTAAGGGAAGATTTAGAATGCACACAGTGTGCACATAAAGTGTGGTGTACGGTATCAACTTACGACTGTAATTGAGCCTGGCAATTACGATTGTAAATTTTGACAGTTGTAAAACAGGTCATCATGCAACCAAGCTAATTTTATGACCTCTTTTTTTTTTCAGTAGTTGTTAAGTAAACATGGTGGTTGTTAAGCAAAAACATCATAAATCACAGTCACTTGACCCCAGGACACTGAAGGCATAAATTCCAGCTGGTTACCAGGCACCCAAAATGCAGTCACTTGACTCTGTAGAATAGAATAGAATAGAATAGAATAGAATAGAATTTTTATTGTCACCTTAAATGTACACTAATCAGCATACATTAAAATGAAATTTTGTTGCATTCAACTCTCAAAAAAATAGCATTATGCATATACCCACATATACACACATATCTGACACAGAGGGGCGGGACTGTCCATCGGTCCTTTGGAACAGGGTTGTAAATAAATTTTGGTGTGTCTGTTGTAACTTTGAACAGTCTCTTAGTGACTGGTGATAAATCAAGGACTGTCTATAGTGGTTAAGGAGTCAATGGGGGAAACTCAGCTTGTAGTCTACCCCATTTGTTTAGGCATGGAAGAGAACGGGGCGATTTGGGGCCAGGTATTCTCTGTCAGCCCAACCAACTTCACAGGGTTATCGAAGGAAGAAATAGGAGAAATGGTGATTTATGCTGCCTTGAGCTCCCGTACCAAAGAATTTAACTAATAATACATGTGAATGCTGCTAATATCTTACAGCAACTGCTATTATTAATAATCCATTCATGGTTTTGCCACAGATACCAGTACTAGTCATTTTTTCGATTAAGACACAGATAAAAGTAGTCCTTGACTAACAACTATTCGCTTAACAACTATTCAAAGTTACAACAGTGCTGGAACAATGGACTTACAACCAGTTCTCACACTTAACAACTATCACATGTTCCTTGGGGTTACACAATCAAAATTTGGGTGTTTGTCATCCAGCATATATGACATGCATTCACCACTGTGACCTTCCCAGGGGGCTTCCAACAAACAAAACCAAAGGCAGATTTGTATGATTTACTTAACTGTGTTATTCACCTAACAACCACAGCAAAAAAAAGGTCATAAAATCAGACAAAATTTACTTAATGACCTCATCACTTAGGCATGGAATTTCCGGTCCCAATTGTGGCTTTAAATTGAAGACAAGCTTGGTCTTACCATCCCCCTAGATTGTGTTCCCCAAGAAAGGCTACACTAATGTGTAGAATGTCAATATTTTGATCACCTTGTTGCCAATAGAAGTAGCTCACTGCATGGTTATCCACTGTTTCAGATCTATGTCCGCAGCACAGATTATGACCGCACCATCATGAGTGCCCAAGCCAATCTGATGGGACTTTATCCAAATTCACATCCGGAAATTCCTTGGAAACCTGTTCCCATCCACACTGTGCCTACTAAGTATGACAAAGTAAGTGAACACAACCTGTATGTGCCCCATTAAATGTTTTCCCACCCTGTTTAATGGCTGTTCATGATACATTGCAAGGTGCAATTTAGTGAAATGACATTTGGAAGAGTAGAAAAGGAGTTTACAACAATAAAAAATATAAATATGTAGCGGTAAATTGGTGGAATGGTTGTTTAAAAAATATTTATCATACAGATTACAAGATATGTATCAAAAACTTGGGCAAATGGGTAATAGCCCAGAGCACCATTTGCTAATTGAAAGGTTCTCTATACATAAAATACAGGTAATCCTCAACTTATGACCACAACTGAACCCCAAATTTCCATTGCTAAGCAAGACAGTGAGTCATGCCCCATTTTATGGCCTTTTTTGCCATGGTTATTAAGCGAATCACTGCAGTTATTAAGTGAATCATGCAGTCGTTAAGTGAATTTGGCTTTGCTTATCAGAAGCTCCCTAGGAAGGTTGCAAATGACAATCCCAGAACCCCAGAACACTGCAGCCACTGTAAATATATGCTAGTTGCCAAACACTCAAAGTTTGATCATATGAGTATGGGGATCAGTAGTGGGATTCAAATACCTGAACAATCGGTTCTCTTATTGGATGCAGGCCTGGGCCTTCGAGGCCTAGAACGGTCTTCTACAAATGACATCCACGCACTTCTGGTGGGCCATTCTAGGCCTAAGAGACCTCCTCCAGGCCTCCGAGGCCTAGAACAGACTTCCAGAAGTGGCATCCATGCACTTCCAGCAGGCTGTTCTAGGCCTGGGAGGTCTCCTCCAGGCCTCCGAGGTCTAGACTGGACTGCTGGAAGCAGTGTGCATTCAGCTGGTTCTCCGAACTCAGCAAAATTTAGCTACAGGTTCTACCGAACTGATGCGAACCGGCTGAATCCCACCACTGGTTGGGATGTTGCGACTGTCATAAGTGTGAGAACCGGTCATAAGTCACCTTTTTCAGTGCCATTGTAATTTTGTATAATCATTAAATGGATTTAAATTAAGGACCACCTGTAAACACTTTCAGTGCACTTGTGACAGTTGAGGTGAATCTGATCAGTTCCGTATATGGAAAGAATATATTATTTTAGAATATATCCTGATAGTGACTTTAGGACAGTCGATCTATCTAACCCTAACCTTTCTTATGGAGAAAAACAGGAGGATGAGAATAGAGAGCACTATATGCATTATATGCTGCTTGGATCTCCAATCTGAATGGCGGGACATCAATTTAACAATGAATAAATAAAATGGATAAGGATAAACTGGAATTATGTGCATTTATTTTTTCTTGACCCTAAAATATCCAGGGGTCATTATTTTTCTACAAGACTAAAAAACAGGGCTATGTAGAAAGTTAGTTTTACTTGGAAGCAAACATTGGTTTATCATAGAAGAGAGTTATAGCACTGCAATAGAGGGGTTTTTTTTATCTTCCTTTTAGAATGCTAACTATGGTAATCTTAGTTTTAATATTATAATTTTATTTTTATTGTATACGCTTCCCTGGAAGTCTTGTATATTATAAAGGTAAATTATAAATGTATGGGAGCAAAGTTTTCATCTATGTATTTCTTGAAAGAGTCTTCTTGTAGAAAACTAGGAGAAATTACATCCCTAAATCCATCTTTAACAATGTTATAAGTCAGGGGTCTTCAAACCTGGCCCTTTTATGACTTGTGGACTTCCAGTCCCAGAATTCCTCAGCCAGCAATGCTGGCTGAGGAATTCTGGGACTGGAAGTCCACAAGTCATAATGTGGGAGTTGAAATCCATAAATCATAAAAGGGCCAAGTTTGAAGACCCCTGTTATAAGTGAACTCATCCTTACTTTTCCTTTTGCTATTCTCCTACATTTTCTTTGCTATCTTACTATAAAGCACATGTTTCTATTATTCCAGTCTCTTTGCTACATATTTATTCCACTCCACAAATACTGGGAAGGCTCTCACCTTGTCTCTTAAGTCTATTTCAGTTATCTTCAGCTCTGCCTGTTTTGTTTTGTTTTCATAGCTATTGAATCAAAGGCTAGCACAACATTACTACAACAGTAAAACCTTAATAAGGTTTTAAAACTGGCACAAAACAAGGATTTGATTTTGGCAGTTGCAAATCTGCCATTCAAATCTATTGGAAATAAAATATGATCTGGACTGAGAATGAACATATAAAAGATTTAGTAGTACAGACAGTCATCGACTTACAACAATTTGTTTAGCGACTATTCAAAGTTACATTGGCATCGAAAACTGAGATTTATGACCCTTTTTCACAATTACGACCTTTGCAGCATCCCCAGGATCATCTGATCAAAATTCAGATGCTTGGCACCTAGTTTCCGTTTATAACCGTTGCTGTGTCCTGGGATCATGTGATCCCCTTTTGCGACCTTCTGACAAGCAAAGTCAATAAGGAAGCCAGATTCACTTAACAACCGGGTTATTAAATTATCAATTGTAGTGATTCACTTAACCATGGCAAGAAAAGTCATAAAAAGAGGCAAAACTCACTTAACAAATGTCTCACTTAACAACAGAAACTTTGGGCTCACTTGTGGTCATAAGTTGAGGACTACCTGTATTTAGTCAAAGTTCCCGATTTCTAACAATGAAGTACTACCCAATAGTTTCAGCCTGGGACAAATCTAATTCTCTATATTCCCTACTTCTGTTCCTAGCTTTTAAAACCACCAACCAGAAGTTGCCAACGATATCAACAATTGATGGAAGAGACTATTAATTTGCCAAGCTATCAAGCTAAATTGAGAGAATGGAAGGTATGATGGACGAGGGCTAAGATAAGGAGAATAATTTAAAGCCAAATTCTAGAAGTAGAATTCCCCACAATCCAAAATTGAAAAAGAAGTTGCTGAATGGTAAAGCCAATTTTATCTTCTACGAGTTGTAGAATATGTAAATTGGTAGAATATCCATTCTATCACCAATATGTTTTGTTCATGATTACATCTAGAAAGTGATATTTTTTCATACAATGTTTAATTGTCCTTTTTTGTGGGGAATCATTAAAATTATTAAGATTTTCTTCTTTGATTACCCTCATAGTTTCAGTCTCTGAATTTCTTAGATAGTCTGAATATCTGAGGATGGAGGTTCATTCTCCGAGCTTGTAGGTTGGTTTCCGAAAGTTTTGTTACAAGGTAACATCTTCAGCGAAGTTTAGGGGATGTCAGTGTCATTATTCCTCTATTTATAAGTCTGTGTACTATTTTATGAATAAGTCCTGAAAACAAAAGTCTGGAAGAGGTCTTCAGAATACATTCACATATTTTCAGGAATCAATCAATTAGTTAACCATTTGCCTGTCCAACATAGTCTAAATAAATTAATGAATATCTATACAATTTTGCTTCAAGGTGCCACCATCCAACAGATTCTCCCAGCCGTCTACTTCAATATTAGGTCTAGACACTTTGGCTGTAATTATCCTTCTTTGAAAGCCATGGTAGACAAAGCAAATAGGTTGTCTTCTGTCTAGTAGTTGAAGTCTTGCAACACATTAAGCCTAGATTAACAAAATATAATTAATATTTCACATAATATGCTATGTCCAAACAAACTATATTATGCTTAATATAATATACGATTTCTACAATATGCTAGGATAACGTTTGGATTCCCTAAACCAGGGGTGTCAAACTGCCTGCCAGTGGGCCAGTTTCATCATATCGAAGCTGCTCCCACCCCATTGCTGGTAATGCAAAAAAAGTCATAATACATTGTGACACATCATGTGATGTGGCGAGTTTGAGACCTGTGCCTTAAACAAATTGGGAAACAAATTGTCCAAGTTCATTTTACCTAAATTTTGCATGTTGTATGAATTATGTTTTTAGATATTTGATTTTTGAAAAGAACAAGATCATTTCAGATGTTGTTGAACTATAGTATTTAATAGATCATGCCAGACAAACCTTATTGCATTCTTTGACCAAGTGACAAAATTAGTAGATCAGAGGAATGCTGTGGACATAATTTACTTGGACTTCAGTAAGGTATTTGATAAAGTAGATCACAACCTACTACTTGACAAGATGAGGGGTAGAAAGCACACCACCAGAGGGATCCATAGCTGGCTGACTGGCCATACTCAGCGTGTGGTCCTCAATGGAACCGCATCTACATGGAGGGAAGTGTGTAGTGGGGTGCCCCAGGACTCTGTTCTAGGCCCAGTGCTCTTCAATATCTATATCAACGATTTGGATAAGGGGATAGATGGGGAACTCATCAAATTTGCAAACGACACCAAGCTGGCAGGAATAGCCAACACTCCAGAAGATAGGCTTAAGATACAGAAGGATCTGGACAGACTTGAACACTGGGTGCTATCTAACAAAATGAAATTCAGAAATTCAGCTCCCTATTCCTCTGTCTTGGTGCTACTTGACCTCTCAGCGGCTTTCGATACCATCGATCATGGTATCCTTTTGCGACGACTCGAAGGGGTGGGAGTGGGAGGCACTGTTTTATGGTGGTTCTCCTCCTACCTCTCTGGCCGGTCGCAATTGGTATTGGTGGGAGGGCAGAGGTCAACCCCGAGGCCCCTTGAATGCGGCGTGCCACAGGGGTCGGTCCTCTCTCCCCTCCTATTTAACATTTATATGAAGCCGCTGGGTGAGATCATCAGACAGCACGGGGTGAGGTTTCATCAGTATGCTGATGATACCCAGTTATATATCTCCTCCCCGAGCTCTCTCAGTGAAGCGGCCGATGTGATGGGCCGTTGCCTCGAAGCCGTGAGGGTCTGGATGGGGGTTAACAGACTCAGGCTCAATCCTGACAAGACCGAGTGGCTTTGGATGTTGCCTCCCAAGGATCATGTCGACTGTCCAGTGTTGACTCTTGCGGGGGAAAATATACCCCCTTCGGAGCGGGTTCGCAACTTGGGTGTCCTCCTTGATCCACAGCTGAATTTGGAACATCAATTGACGGCTGTGGCTGGGAGGACCTTTGCACAAGTTCGCCTGTTGCACCAGTTGCGACCCTACCTGGACCGGGAGGCTCTCCTTACAGTCACTCACGCCCTTGTCACCTCACGTTTGGACTACTTCAACGCGCTCTACATGGGGCTACCCTTGAAAAGTATTCGGAGACTACAGTTGGTCCAGAATGCAGCCGCGCGAGTGATAGTGGGTGCTCCTCGATACACCCACGTTACACCTATCTTCCGTGAGCTGCACTGGTTGCCTATTGGTCTCCTGGTCCAATTCAAGGTGTTGGTCATTACCTTTAAAGCCCTATATGGCTCAGGGCCAGGCTATTTGCGAGACCGCCTACTACCTCATAGTTCCCTACGTCCGGTTAGATCCCACAAGCTGGGCCTCCTTCAGGCCCCGTCGGCCAAGCAGTGCCATTTGGCGGGGCCGCGGAGGAGGGCCTTCTCTGTGATGGCGCCCACGCTTTGGAATCAGCTCCCCCCCGGAGATTAGGACCGCTCCCACCCTGTTGGTCTTCCATAAGCTACTTAAGACCTGACTTTTCCGGCAGGCCTGGGGTTTATAAAACCTTACCCCTGGATGATTGTTTTTGTATTGTTGTTTTGTTATGTTTTATGTGTTTTTTATTGTTAGCCGCCCAGAGTCCTTCAAGAGTGGGACGGCTTATAAATTTAAAAAAAAAAAAAAGTGGTGAAAAAAGTAAGGTTCCACATTTAAGCAAGAAAAACCAAATGCACAGGTATAGTATAGGGGGTACCTTGTTCAACAGTGAGAGGGACCTCGGAGTCCTAGTGGACAATCACCTAAATATGAGCCAGCAGTGTGCTACAGCTGCCAAAAAGGCCAACACAGTGCTAGGCTGCATTAACAAAGGGATAGAATCAAGATCACGTGAAGTGTTAATACCACTTTACAATGCCTTGGTAAGGCCACACTTGGAATACTGCATCCAATTTTGGTCACCGTGATGTAAAAAAGATGTTGAGACTCTAGAAAGAGTACAGAGAAGAGCAACAAAGATGATTAGGGGACTGATGGTTAAAACATATGAAGAACGGTTGCTGAAATTGGGTATGTCTAGTTTAATGAAGAGAAGGAAGAGAGGGGACATGATAGCAGTGTTCCAATATCTCAGGGCTGCCACAAAGAAGAGGGTGTCAAGCTATTTTCCAAGGCGCCTGAAGGCAGGACAAGAAGCAACGGGTGGAACTAAGCAAGGAGAGAAGCAGCCTAGAACTAAGGAGAAACTTCCTAACAGTTAGAACAATTAGCCAGTGGAACAACCTGCCTCCAGAAGCGGTGAATGCTCCAACACTGGAGGTTTTTAAGAAGAGACTGGACAGCCATTTGTCTGAAATGGTATACGGTTTCCTGCCTGAGCAGGGGGTTGGACTAGATGACCTCCAAGGTCCCTTCCAATTTTACTATTATTATTATTAATAGCCTGGCCATCAGGAAGAAATCCTGGGACTTGTAGTTCAGCAACACATGGAGGACCACAAGTTCTTTAATACTGATTGACACATTTTTATTTTACCATATATCTGGATGGTTCCACAGTGGCCTGAAAAAAATAAGAACAAATCAAAATCCAAAGCATTTGTAATAACAAAACAAATGCAAAACATATTAATAATGGCCAGAATATAAAACTATAGCAGTACAGTGAAATTTCAGTTTATGGACTCCAGTATAGTAGACCAAATGCAACAGATCAAATTACAATTTGGACATCTTGGAATAACAGACAAGTCTGTGGCATCTTAAGTACTCCAGACAAGATAATTGTATGTCATTTGCAGTTATTTGTGTCATTTGACCATGAATGACAAAAATTATATCATTCATCAGTTTTAAAACAAAGTAATCCATTTTGTAATGACATTTTTATGCATGTATCATTTCCACCAATTTTAACACCTATTAACACAAATGAAGTTAGTTATTTGTAAATGAATCTCTGGGTTCCTAACAACAAAACAGCATGAAATAGAAATAATCAAAATCTAGGAAAAGCAATAGCACAAAAAACACACATGCTAATTTGTATCATTTCCATAGCAATGTTATTATATGGGCTGATATATTGTGCTATTTAACAGGCATTTAGGAATAAAAAATTCACTCTTTCATTAAATTTAGATCTGCTTTATTTGAAATAGTTGACAATGTGAACCATTTAAGAAAAAACATCCTCTTGTTATCAGGACCAATTTGATGAAGAGAGGATTAGTGATTGATTTGCAAGGGAAGAGTTTTAGTATTAAAAGGAGACAACCTAATGTTAAGCTTCCTAAAGGGAGAAAAGTTTCTTTTCAGCCATCACTGCCTCAGAAGTAATCAGTACTATTTTATATATGAAGAGAAGGACCCAGATTGTTGGGGGCAATGTAAATATATATATACATTGCTTACTGGTGTACACCGCTTAAAGAGTGCTTGCACTTAAAGCGGTATATAAGTCTCATAAATAAATAAATATGGCTTATCCCAGATACAGGACAGAGCTTGAGTAGGATTACTTCAGTGCAGAGAGAAATGGCTCAATATAATGTTTTCTTGTTGAATTTTTTTTTCAAATTTCAAATCCTTCATAGAATAACTGTAATACCTCAAATAAGGAAAATAGCAAATAGTTTGATCAGGTTGTAGGAAAATCTACAAAACCACCCAATGAATCTATCCAGTCCAGGACCCAGATAATTCAGTGGATTCTGAAATTAACCTCTGTTTACTGCTACAGTGAGAGGAACCACTTTGCTAGACAGATCTAAGTTTGGGAAAGCAATCATAACTCTCTCTTTAAAAAATTGGACCTAAATAGTTTGTGTCTGCTTAGGTTTGCTCTGAAGATCTGCAATGAATGCAAATAAGAATGCAGGGTTAATTGAGATAGAAATAATTGAGCGCAGTGAACCTTAGTTATTTCTGTTTTCCTCTCTTGCAGGGCTTTATGGAAAAAATGGCTAATTATACAGGGCTTAAATCTGAGCAATTGACCCTGAGAGGCCTCTGGAAGGTGCATGACACACTCTTCTGTCAGGTAAGAGCCTGCATCACAGATAGTTCTCAACTTACCAGCATTTGTTTAGCGACCATTCAAGGTTATGATGGCACTGAAAAAAGTTACTTACAACCGTTCTTCACGCTTACAACCATTGTAACATCCTCATGGTCATGTAATCAAAATTAATAATAATTAACTGGCATACATTTACAAAGTTTGCGATGTCCCAGGGCAGGGGTAGGCAACCTTGGCTCTTTTATGACTTGTGGACTTCAGCTCCCAGAATTCCTGAGCCAGCATGGCTCAGCTTGGAAATCTCTTCCTTTTCCCTCAGCATGGCTGGCTCAGGAATTCTGGGAGTTGAAGTCCACAAGTCATAAAAGAGCCAAAGTTGCCTACCCCTGTGTCATTTATTTGTAACCTTCTCCAAAGGCTCCTGACAAGCAAAGTCAATGGAGGCAGCCAGATTCACTTAACAGCCATGTGATTCACTCAACAATTGCATTGATTCACTTAACAAAATGGCAAACAAGGCTCTAAAATTGGGTGCGGCTCACTTAATAAGTCCCTTAGAACAGGGATCCCCCAAACTTGCCAAGTTTGGAAGCCCCTGCCTTAAAAATTATGGTCCCAATTACACCAAGGTCACCATTTCATTAGAAAACTCTCTTTTTTTTTCATTTTTCACACAGAAAACCCATAACATGACTTTGCCTAGATGGGCTACACCACAGGTTTTGACAACTCTCTCAGAGATAGAAGTGTTTAACATTGAAGCCCATGTGGGAATGCATGCTACCCAGGAGAAGGCTCGATTCATTGGAGGTACAATTACATTTGAATTATTTGCTCTGTTTGGAATCAAGACCTAGATGTGTATGGTAAATGTCTCAAAGGTGCTTTTTTTTCCTTCAAAAGGCAACTGGACTGTTGTTTTTTTCCTTAAGAAAGAAGAAACAAACATTTTGCTTGCCATCCAAGAAGCTTCATCAGTTCTGATGATAGGAAAATGGAAGGACTGATGAAGCTTCTTGGATGAGAAGCAAAATGTTTTCTTCCTCAAGTGAAAAAGCAGTCCAGTTGCCTTTTGAAGGGGAAAAAAAAAAGCACCTTTGAGACGACTATGACCTGGATGACTGAGAATCTCCACAGATATATGCAGGTAGTCCTCAATTTACCTCTGTTCATTTAGTGACTGTTTGAAGGTACATCACTGGAAAAAAATGATGGCCATTTTTCACACTTATGTCTGTTGCAGCATCCTCATGGTTAGATGATCAAAATTCAGATGCTTGGCAACTGACTTATATTTATGACGGTTGCAGTGTCCTGGGATCATGTGATTCCCCTTTTGTGACTTTCTGACAAGCAAAGTCAATAGGTTAGCCAGACTCACTTAACAACTGTGTTACTCACTTAACAATTGCAATGATTCACTTAACAACTGTGGCAAGAAAGGTCATAAAATGGGGCAAAACTCACTTACCAAAGGTCTCACTTGGCAACATAAATTTGGGGCTCAGTTTGGTCATACATTGAGGACTACCTGTACGGTAAAATGTGGCAATATTAAAGTAAAAAGTAAACACAGGACAGTTTGAAGGAAAACGATTGAAAGTACAAAGTGTGTACCAGCTTGGAAATATGTATGTATGTACGTACATATGTACGTATTTGTTTATTTAATTTCTGTACCACCAATCTCCCCTACAAAGTGACTCTTAGCTGTGTAAACCTAGGACATTTCCTCATTAGCAATGTGTAGAATGAAACTAGCATACTTGTGCCCAATGAGGACAAGTTTTCTGTCTACAGTGATGGCTGAATAATGCCATAGTGATGCTATTGCTCACTAGCAAGGAATAGCGTAACATTCCTTCATTTCCTCAATCTCATTGGGGATTCTGCATTTCAGGGTCTAGCAACTAGCCCTCAAATATCAAGTTAGCTTAATAGCACCACCATGTGGCAGGAATTGTTATTTAACATGCCATAACAAAGCCAGCGCTCGAGGGAGATCAGGATCCCTTCAACTTCCTTTCTAAGCTTCGGTATACTTTCTGATACAACACTGTGCAGTTCCTCTCTTCTCAGCATCTTTCAGCCTTGTGCTTTTCTGAATGTCAGATACATGTCAGTATATTATCTACCAATATATTTTCCTCTCTGCAGGTTTGCTGCTGGGCGCTATTTTGAGCAACTTTTCCAAAATGGTGTGCCAGGATCTGCCTCTTAAGATGATAATGTATTCTGCTGTAAGTTCTCCTGTTCCTTACAATTCCAAAGATCCACTTTGGAAAATGAGATAATCCAGAGAATTTACAGCACTCCTCTCCTCTCTGCAGCTATCGTTACCTACAGCACAGAATTGGTTTGGGGCAGAATTTGAGCATTTTTCTATAATCTTAAGAATTCTAGCTGCTAGTTTGTAGGGTTGTTGTTAAGGCAAAATGTCAGGGCTTAGCAGAAAAAGAGGGAGCCTTACTTCCCTCCTGCCCCAGCTGAGTGGACATCTTATTTCAAAATAAGCAAAGGAATCTAAACAGGGTTGGATCAAATCCAGTCATGCTTCCTGATATCAGTGATGGAATATTTTCCCATTTCTTGGTTTATTTCATATATATATATATGGCTACCCACCTCACCATGGTGATTTGGGGCAGATAACATAAACAAGCAAAAAGGAAAATAGGTATAATTGCCAGTGAAAGAGATAAAACTGAATATAGCAAGCAGAAAAATTACTTATTTTTTTACTTTCTCTGGACTTAAATACCTTTCTTCACTTTGAAAATACCTAGCCTTTAATTTCCTTCCATGGGGCACTGGCACTCTGCTACAAAATCCTGCCTGAGGATACAGAGAGTACAATTTGGTATGCCAAGTTTTATTCAAGAATAAGGATAAGGATTGGAAGGCAGACATGGACATGAGAAGTGTGGGAAGAAGGGATGTTCTGGTCTATTCTAATATGTAAATGGCATAATAATTATTTCTGCTTATTTTCTTTAGCATGACAGCACCTTGATTGCTCTCCAGGCAGCGCTCGGGGTTTACAGTGGCCGTCCACCACCCTATGCAGCTTGTCATGGATTCGAATTCTACCAAGAAGGCAATAAGTAAGTTTAACACAAGAAGGATGGGCAGTTCTTCCTTTTGCAACTGTCAAGATGCAGACATGGTGCGTTGTTCTCCACCAAGTTCAGGACAATCCTTAGGATCCCATTAGAAGTTTCAAAGGCTGAACACATACAAAAACCTTATGAATATTGAACCATAGGATCTAAGACTGGGCAGATTAGTTGGTGTTAATTTGACATCTTCAGCTTGCAAAGATGTCCAGGAGCTTAAATCGGGCAGAATCATACACACACAAAAGATGATTTAACTTTTGGCTTCCCGCAATTATTACCTAGTTCACTGAAGTATGTTAAAATGGAAGTTTTTGCACACCCTGAACTCAAGAAGGTAATTAGATTCTAGACAAAGCTTATTTCCATTTTGTCATTTCATTTTCCTCTTCCTTTCTTACAAGATCCCTCCCAAGCCAGACTTTGCATCATTTTCAAAACCATTTCCTTGCAGCAGAGCTGGCTGCCTCCAAACTATCTGTCAGCAAATTTAATTGCTGACGCATTAGTAAGGCTGTAGCATCAGAAATTGTTCTGAGGTGGCAGAACAATTTCAAGGATTGTGCAAGGGGAAAAGCAGCAGCAAATGTATCTTTTGGCAGGTACGTTAAGGAGATAAAGCAGATTCCAGGGCGGTGCAAAACTTTTAAATTTTCACATTTCAGCTCTTTCAGCGTTGCCATGTTCTACCGCAACAGAAGTGACCAGAGGCCCCATATCCTACCTCTGCCTGGCTGCCCCACACCTTGCCCATTGCCACTGTTCATTCATCTCACCCGTATAGCTGTCCCAGAGGACTGGGATGCCGAGTGCCAAAATCCTCAGAGTGGTCCAGGTAATGAGATCATCTTTCCCCCCTCCTCTCTGGCACAGAGCTAGTTAATTGAAAACCATTAAGCCCGATCCAATATTCTGTTTGCAGGGTGTGCAGTGATAGCCCTGGCTACAACAGTAGGTGTGCTGAGCGTGGCACTGATTGGCATGGGTGTCTTGTACTGGAGAAGGTGATAATGAAGATAAGTTGAATGGCAACCATCCAACGCCCATGGAGTAAGCAGCAAACTGCCTTTTTGTAATTTTTTTTTTAAAAAAATGTGGTGCAATGCAGCCATCTCGGGACTTCTCATCTGCCTTACTCAGCTAGCATTCTAATTGGGAGACCGTGCCACGGGGGGAGTTGACACCAACTTTGTGCCAGGCAGTTCCTAACCAACAGCTACCTGGAGGTCAACATCAGCAGGAAATTCAGCACGGGGTATTACTAGGGAAAGGGCAGCACAGCGCTCAACTGAAATGCATTATAAATTTATGGCACAATGACTTCACCTACATGCCCTACTCTCGAAATTCCTTGTACATCAGTGGTTCTCAAACTTTTTAATGTCGCAACCCCCAACCGGTCGTAAGTCAAGGACTACTCAACCGGTCATAAGTCGAGGACTACTCAACTGGTGCAGCACCATTTGCAGAATGGGACTCTTGGCGGGCTCAGCAGGGCAGAGACAGCCTGGACAATTCCTATTGGCTTTTGAAAGCCAATAGAATTAGACTCTATTCAAGAGTCTATTCTATTGGCTTTCAAAAGCCAATAGAATAAAAGGGAGTAGCACAGCTAAGGAAAAGGGGGGAAAAAATGGCGGACTGCGTTGCTTGGCGACCCCTGTGAAATGGTCGTTCGACCCCAAATGGGGTCCCGACCCACAGGTTGTAGATGCTACCCCTTTAGCAGGGTTTGGGTGTCTTAACCCAATTAAGGTTCATTTAAATACGCTGTATCAGCTTGGTTAAAGGAATATTGTCCTCACTCATTTCCCCTCCAGTCTTGCTCAATAATCCATAAACTCTGCACAAGCAAAGCTTCATTGTGTCATGTCTTGCTTTCCCATTCAACGCTGTCTGTACTCAGTAATTTGGAAGAGGTGTCCTTGGCCACAAGATCCCATATTTTCAGCCATTCTATAGCTATATCATGCCTTCAGTAGTTTCTCACTACCATGTTTGGCTTTCCACAACATACTACAGTAAGAAATTTTTAATTCAGTTATTTGGGATTAAAACTGTCCATTTTGGTCCAGGGAGTTACCAGGTTTGCAGAATATACTATATAGGACACAATTGTTAAAAGCTATTGTGTAAAAGCCAGTTTAGCATTGCACTACACCCAATGGTGCAAGGGCAAGCCAGATTCACCCACCTACTCAAGGAACTAGTTTCCTATCCATAAAGAATACACCCTGTGGGGGGGGGGACCCCAAACCCATTTCAATGATCAGGTTCTTGGGTCTACTTGACATAAGGCAAGTTTAGAAAATGAAGGGTAACAGAACAGTTTGAAGGCAGGGTTTATCCACTGTCACCCAGTGGTACAGTATAGCTACGACATCACTGTACCAAAGGCAACTGCTATTTTCCCATTACAGAGACTCATCGTTGATACTCCATTAATATTTAGTCTTGCCACTAGGACAGGCATGCCAAACCCGCGACGTCATGTGACATCACGTATCGGGCAGGTTTTGCCATTGCCGGCAATGGGGTGGGCGCAGGTTCCATGTGATGCGTCCAGCTCATGGGCCGGCAGTTTGACACCCCTGCATTAGGAATAACCAACCCTGCCACCCTTTTGTTTAGTAAGCTTGCTTGCAAACAAATGACCCAAAAAATAAATGTACTTTTTATTGTAGTGTTTTATTTGTGACGAATACTTGGAAGTACCATGAACTCCCATGAGACAGACTACATTGTCTCCCTCGGAATCTCTCAAGGGGGCACAAATCCACAAACACAGGGAGCAGAAAAGGTTGCAGACACTCAATTGTAGGGAAAGGCAATGTCCTTGAAAAGAACATTGCTTGGAGATTTTCTGACTGGGCAGCTGTGATACATTTAATAGTCCAAGAACACCTTCCAAATAATTGCTAACATTTTGCTGCAAGTCAAGAGATTCCCCAACTCTGCAGAGTAATTTTTTGTTGTTCCTTTCCCAGCCACTGAACTTGACCCAGTTCTAAGTAGCATCCACAGTATCATATGGTACTTTAAGTAAGCCGTATAGCTCTTCAAAGGCTACTCTTTTCCTGCTACTACCATAGGAGCAGGGACAGGACAGAAAAGAACAGCTACACATGAAGGAAGGGGTTAGAAAATAACCCCTTTTAAGAAGGCGTGCTTTGCAGCAGCATTACCAGCAAGAGTTTACTCAGATGGGTGTGTGTATAATGCTGCTACTGGAGTCCAAAGTTATCACCAGTAGGAACTATTTTGCAGGAGTAAGTGACATTGCCCTTTGCAGCTTCAACAGACATAGCAAAGTCATTCATCTTCCCATTGCTTTCTAATCAGGCTCTGATAAGGAAGCCTCTCACTTCTGCAGGAAAAACAGAATAAGGGACATAATGGATAAACAATGCCAAATCCTTCCCATCCCAAACAATGGATCCAGGAAAATTTCTTAGTTGCATTTCTTCTTGGGAAGAAGGTCCTCCACTTAGGCATCTTCGGTGCTCTCGTTAAAATGTGGACAGGCAATTCGGCCCAGTCTGAACGAAACAAGTAACATAACATACATCAGTATTATAACATCTAAAAGTTTGGACAGCCATCCCCAATCAAGTATCCAGAGATTAGTTGGATTTCAACTCCCATACATTTGATACACTCCAAAATGGGATAGACCAGTGAAAATTACCTAACCACAGTACATAATTACTTACCAATAGTCTTTTAAGGGTCCAAGTAGTCTACACTGCATACATTCCCAGAAGAATCTGGCTCACATCAAGCCTGCCAGCAACTGCATAATATTTCATCTTCACCTATGAAAAATATCCAAATTAGAATTCTACTGGCCTTCTCCATAGTAGCTCCTTCCCTGTGGAACATCATCCCTTCAGAGATAAGATTGGCCCCCACTTTGGCACTCTTTCCCAAGACCCTGAAGACATGGTTCTGCCAATGAGACTGGGAACCCCAGAGTGATATGGATCTCATCAAGTGGCTGGTCTAATTGTCACAGGGGAGGGGAAGAGAAGTAGTTGTTTGTACTGGCATTTTGTATTGGTATTGTAAGCCCCCTCCCCGAGTTAGGTGACTTTATACATTTTCTTAATAAAATCTTTAAAATGTGCTTTGTTTAAATTCCATTCTCAAACAATATCATGTTCTGAGTGTAATAGAAGCAGTTTCAAAGCAACAAGGTGATTATTCAATGTTGTGCCTCATTTCCATTTCCAAATCTTCCCAAGAGTAATTGACATTTTTTGGCCCATTAAACAAAATCAGTGGCTACAATATTCAGCACTTAAAGCTTTTCATAAGTCCAGGTAGTGCTCAGTTTACGACCACACCTGAGCCCAAAATCTCCATTGCTAAAGAAGACAGTTGCTAAATGAGTTTTGCCTACTTGCCACAGTTAAGTGAGTCACTGCAGTTGTTAAGTCAGTAGCACAGTTGTTAAGTGAATAGGACTTCCCCAGTTTCAAAAAAGTGAACACATGATCGGGACACTACAACTGTCATGAGTCAGTTACCAAACGTCCAATTTTGATCACGTGACCACAGGGATACCGGGTGAAAAGTTGTGTGAAAAATGGTCATTTTCAGTGCTGTTGTAACTTGAAACAGTCACTAAATGAACAGTTCTAAAAGATTACTTATATAAAAGCATCCTACTCTTTGGAAGGGAAAAGAGGCAGAAGAGGACAAACATGGCATGAGAAAAAAATATATCTGGAGATGGTTCTAACATGGAGTCCTTCCCTTCTGCTTTTTAATATTATATCCTTACCTTCCACTATGAGATCCCCAGTCTCTCAAAAGCAAAGGACAAACGGAGAACGGGTACTAGGAAAGGAAGGAAACAGCAGGCCAGCCCATTCCAGTAGGCAAAGTGCAGATCATCTTCCTGGAAATCCTTTCCTTTGTAAGGTTCTGTTGGAGGTTAAATCCAGTTCGTATCTTATTCCAAGCTGGAAGAAAAAGGCAGGCAGAGGAAATTAAGTCTGAGGCAGGCTGCGTTTTGGAAAGAAGGTCTCCATTTATTTGATATCCAGAAACAACGACAAAGCATACGCACTTAAAAATCAAGCATACCTTAGGGGGAAAAATTAATATTACCTACAAACCCAGAATATCAGGATATATGTTCCCAGAACTCAACATACAGGGAGGCTGGGAAAGGGGAATCATATCTGCAGCCCTTTCCCTACTTTACCAACCCTTTTGAATCCCCACTTCAATTCTGGGATAATCTGCAGGTGAAAATGAGCAAGCACAGGAGAATGCACATTGAAAAATGCCTCGGCCCTCTACTTCCAATTGCTCAGAACACAAGAGACTCTTTGAGATCAAATTAGGCTCAACACCTTTTAGGGAAAATGGCTTATAAAGTAACTTCCCTCCTAGAATATGCAGAAAAACAAACTATTTGAACAAGTTTACACTTTTCATTGCAAACATCAAGTTTTCCCACTCATTTTCTTTTCAAATGCAAGTTTAATTGCAAAAGGTTGTTCCTTTAGCTGCAGTGCGGTAATCATTCAGATTCTATTATTTAATTCAGCAGGAATTGTAGAGCAACTGGGTGGGAAATGAGGAACGGATACTCAGGGGAAGAGATGGAGAAGTGGAATGGGGTGGGGTGGTCTGAATCGTTTGCAGGCAGAATTTGGAAAGTCTAAAGGTTAAAGATGTTATTGGAAAAGAGTGGTTATTTCCCTGCTTGTATACTGAAATGAGCTAACAGAAGACACACGCATACACAGACTTGAGGGCAGAAATAAGTAGGCATCTACGCAATCCAAAATAAAACTTTACTTTTAAATAAGTTTAGGACATTCCCTCCTGACAAACTTGGACTGTTCTTAAAAGCACAGGGAGAGAAAAGGGGACATGGCTTTTTGCCCCATTTTGCTGACCAAGCAAACTGGGGTTAAAATATGGCTTTTTTTTTTAAATATTTTCTTAACAGGATTTAAAAATTCTTGTCTCTAGGGCAGGGGTAGGCAACCTTGGCTCTTTTATGACTCGTGGACTTCAACTCCCAGAATTCCTGAGCTAGCATGGCTCAGCTTGGAAACCTCTCCTTTTCTTCTCAGCATGGCTGGCTCAGGAATTCTGGGAGTTGAAGTCCACGAGTCATAAAAGAAGCAAGGTTGCCTACCCCTGCTCTAGGGCTTACAGACATTTAACAGTTACATTTACCTTGAGGGCACACAAAGACTTTGACACACATACAGACCTAAAGACAAAAGAAACAGAAAAGGAAGAGAGAACTCTCAGGTCATTCTCACTGTAAATCTTGTTGTTGCTAAGTCGTGCGTTCCTCCAGGTCTTCCTGTCCTCTAGCATCTTCTGGAGTCCATTTAAGCTTACCTTCAGTGACTCCATCCAGCCACCTCATTCTGTCATCCCCTTCTTCTATTGCCCTCAATCTTTCCCAGCATTAGGCTCTTCTCCAGTGAGTCCTTCGTTCTCATTAGGTGGCCAAAGTACTTGAGTTTCAACTTCAGGATCTGGCCTTCTAAAGAGCAGTTACAGTTGACCTCTTCTAGGATTGATCGCCTTGTAGTCCAGGGGATTTGCAGGAGTCTTCTCCAGCACCATAGTTCAAAGGCCTCAATTCTTTGGCACTCAGCCTCTTATGGTTCAACTTTCACAGCCATACATTGTAACTGGGAAAACCATGGCCTTAACTATATGTATTTTTGTTGGCAGGGTGATGTCTCTTTTTAGTATGCTGTCTAGATTTGCCATAGCTTTCCTCCCCATGAGCAAGTGTCTTTTAATTTCTTGGCTGCAGTCCCCATCTGCGGTGATCTTGGAGCCCAGGAAGATAAAATCTATCACTACCTCCATTTCTTCCCCATCTATTTGCCAGGAATTGAGAGGGCCGATGCCATGATCTAGTGTTTTTCCCTACTTTCAATTTAAGTCTAAATTTTGCAAGGAGAAGCTCATGATCTGAGCCACAGTCAGCTCCTGGTCTTGTTTTTACTGACTGTATAGAGCTTCTCCATCTTTGGCTGCAAAGTACATAGTCAATCTGATTTCTGTGTTGACCATCTGGTGATGTTCATGTGTAGAGCCGTCTCTTGGGTTGTTGGAAAAGAGTGTTTGCTATGACCATCATATTCTCTTGACAAAATTCTATCAGTCTGTGCCCTGCTTCATTTTGCACTCCAAGGCCAAACTTGCCTGTTATTCTGGTTATCTTTTGATTTCCTACTTTAGCATTCCAATCCCCCATGATGATAAGGACATCAGTTTTTGGTGTTGATTCTATAAGGTGCTGTAAGGCTTCATAGAACCGGTCAATTTCATCTTCTTCAGCACCAGTGGTTGGGGCATAGACTTGGACTACTGTGATAGTGAATAGTTTGCCTTGGATTCACAATGGGATCATCCTTTCATTTTGGGAATTGTATCTCAGTATTGCTTTTTCTACTCTTTTATTGACTATGAAGGCTACTCCATTTCTTCTGAGGGATTCTTGCCCACAGTAGTATACCTGATGGTCCTCTGAATTAAATTCACCCATTCCTGTCCATTTTAGTTCGCTGATTCCTAAGATGTCGATGTTCAGTCTTGTCATCTCTTGTTTGACCAGCTTGCCTTGATTCATGGATCTTACATTCCAGGTTCCTATGGTGAGTAGATCTTTACAGCATCGGACTTTCCTTTCATCACCAGATGCATCCACAGCTGAGCATCCTTTTGGCTTTGGCCCAGTTGCTTAACTCTTTCTGGCGCTACTGGTACTAGCCCTCTGCTTGCTCTTCCCCAGTAGCATACTGGACACCTTCCGACCTGAGGGGCTCAGCTTCTAAAGTCATATCTTTTTGCCTTTGGGATCTGCTTGTGGTTTGCTAGTAATTTCGTTTCCAGGATCTGGTATCATCAAATCTGCAAAATCCAGAGGAGACACAGATGGGAGGAGGGGCAAATAAGCAGGTCACTTTCACCAAGTTATATTAAGGCAAAAATCAAACTTTCTAACATGCTCTCCTCATTGTACCCGCCACTCAAGATATTTGTATCCCATTTTTATTTTACAAATAACCCAACAAAGCAATACTATTTTCCCCACAACCACCTTGTGCAGTTAAGTTGGGCTGAGAGTGACTGGCACAAAGTCATCCAGCTAGCTTTCATGGCTAAGGCAGAACTTGAACTCATAGTCTCCTTCTAGTCTGTTGCCTTAACCACTATACCAAACTGGTTCTCTTTGATACAATTAATTTATTTGGGACATAAGGCAGTATTTTTTTTCCTCTGCTGCTTGGCCTTTTTCATGACACCAAGAAAGTCTATTCATTAAATGAGTATGCATGCATGTTTATTCTATGCTGCCACACATCTGAATTTTGATCATGTGACCATGGGGATGCTGCAATGGTCCTTAAGTGTGAAAAAAAAATCACAAATCACTTTTTTCAGTGCTGTTGTGACTTTGAACAGTCACTAAACTAACTGTGGTTAAGTAGAAAACTACCTGCACTGGTGTTTCCCTGACATGACAGTCACTACCAGCGATCAAGCACTCCCAAGAGCTTCTTCCTCAATCACAAATTCTAACAGGCAGGCCAGGATTCTGTTCCTCAGTCCCCCAAGATGTCAAAGGCAAGGGGGGGGCACGGTTATCATCACAGCAGTCTGTGCCCAGTGCTAACATCATTGGAAGAACCCTGTTGCCACATTCTTCTCACCTAGATATAGCAATATTCCTATCCCACCTACCAAGGGAAACGAAAAAGGCAGCTGAATTCAATTCCCATTCCACGGATCTTCCAGGGCTTTTTCTATAAGGGCAGGGATAGGCAACCTTGGCTCTTTTATGACTCGTGGACTTCAACTCCCAGAATTCATGAGCCAGCCATGCTGAGGTTTCCATGCTGAGCCATGCTGGCTCAGGAATTCTGGGAGTTGAAGTCCACGAGTCATAAAAGAGCCAAGGTTGCCTACCTCTGTATAAGGGACATCATATCCTCTCGCCCATTATCATAGTCCTATTTCTTATTCCAATTGTCTATGGAGATTCTCAGTCATCCACAGGTCATGGTTGTCCCAAAGGTGCTTTTTCAGGAGGTAACTGGATTTTGTTTTTTCTTTGAAGACGTTTCGCTTCTCATCCAAGAAGCTCCTTCAGCTCACACTGGATGGCGGGGAATGGAAGGATTTATATTCCTTGCAGATAGCTAGTCATTTGCATGACTTTCCCGAAAAATACCAATGACCAGCTGTCTGCAAGGAATATAAATCCTTCCATTCCCCGCCATCCAGCCAGAGCTGAAGAAGCTTCTTGGATGAGAAGCGAAACGTCTTCAAAGAAAAAACAAAATCCAGTTGCCTCCTGAAAAAGCACCTTTGGGATTCTTATTCCAATCCTCCTTTGCTAAAGGAGTCCTTTTTATTCCCCTCCCCGACTTTTTAAAACAATCAACAGGTCCAGCTTTCACCTTCTCCTTGTTTAAAAAAACTCATTGCTAAAAGTATTATAGCGGCAAATAAAAATGATCCAAGAAAACCTTAAACACGACCCCCCCCCTCCGCCGTCCCCGCCGCCACAAACACCCACCTGAAGCTGGACGCCATTTGAAACAGAAGGGAACGCCGGCGCACGTGGCCTTTTTATACTTTGGCCCCGCCTCGCTTTTCCGGACCTCATTCTCGCCATCCCACCGCTTTGCGCATGCGTACAACAAAGGACTGGGCGCCTTGCGCGCGCGCGATCAACCTAATCTCCGCCCTTCGGCCTGTCTAAATGCGCGTGTGCGCGAAGGGAGGTAAAGAGAAAGCAAATCGAAAATTTATTAACGTCATAAAGGCACAAAGGCGAAGAGGAAGCGGGTTGTGAGCTCGCTTGTATTTTGTTGAGTTTCTTTGGCATACGGTTGCCTCTTTGTCAAGGCACAGCTTAATTAATAGAACCGTAGGACTGTTGAACTAATCGTCTTGTCCAGCGTGACTCAACTTTTCAAGATGTCTGGACTTCAACTCCCAGAATTCCCTTGTCAGCTGGCTGGGGACTTCTGGGAGTTGAAGTCCACACGTCTTTAAATTGCTAAGGTTGAGACACAACTGGTTTTGGCGATGTAAACTGGAAAAGTGCATGTGCAAAGGAGTAAATTGTAAGCAAATAGGCAGCAACCTTTAGAAATTTTAAGTTAAAAACCTACTACTGATTGCTTTCTTGTAAATACAAAAAGGAAAAAATGCAGTCCTGTTGGAATGGACTATATCCTCTAGGTCTAATTTTGGTTGTATTACTGATTAATGTATGCTTATTGGCATTTAGGATTAATGATTTGATACTGTCTTTCTGCTTACTAACCCCGTGCTCCTTTCCAGTGTATATGATGAAACAGAGGGCAAATTATTGACTTGCAATGCAAATTTTAAGCCTACTAGCCTATATCATTTTAAAGATGAATTCTTCAGATTTGTGAAAGAAATGCGTATTACCAATTAAGGTTTAAGACAGCCATTTTTTTAGTGTAGTGGTTAAAACCACAGGCTAGAAAATGAAAGACTTAAGTTCTAATCCTGTTATAGCACAAAAGCCAAGTGAATGACTGGGTCAGTATGCTCTCTCAGCCCTAGGACAAAAGCAATGCAAACCACTTCTGAAAATGGGATCGCCAAGAAATAATGAGTCACCTGGAGTCAAAACTGACTTGAAGATGCACAGGGAAAATTTTATTCTTAATGGAACTATTAACTATCATTTTCCAGAAAGAATACTGTGTTTCCCAGGTGAATATAATTGGCCACAGAGGCAAAATGCTATAAAATTGTCTTTCCTAACCATAATGATTTTATTGTTATTAAAATGCTTCATTCTGTCAGAGAGGAAGATAAAGTATTAGTTGTGATATCTATAGCTGTAGTGCCAATTTGGCTTACAGTTACCACTAAAAAGAGTTATGATGCTTCATATATCACTCACATATTTGGAAACAAAACTAATTTAAGGAAACCTAAATCTTTGACTCTCTAGGGATGAATAACCTTTTGTGGTAGTAAGCAGAAAAAATATAGACAAAATCAAATGCATTAACATGCTCAAATAGCTGGCAAAATCACAAGTGCTAGGAAATGTCAAAATCAACTAATCAGATGCTAACTGTACAGCTTTAAGAAACAAAAAGCTCTGTCACAGAATTATTGTAAGTCAAAATCCTGAGGGATATTTTCAGACAAAGTAAAAATAAGTCACATTAAGTACTGCAGTAGAAATTATTGGTGTGAAGCGGTGCTGATTGAATTGTTATTTTAAAGCCAGAAATTTTCTAAATTTGGCCAGCAAGTCCTTGAAAGTGACGTGCATCTAGAACTTCAGGTGTAACAATACCCAATTAAAGAAAGCTAGTGAAATATAAAATATATATGATGTGATCAAGAGAGTAAAAGAATTGAAATGGAAACAGGGCTGGTCACATAGTAAGAAGAACTGATGGCAGGTGGACCAAGGCAGTCATAGAATGGATCCCACTTGATAAAAAGCATCCACAAAAGAGATAAGATTGATGGATGACATCAGCAAGTATGGCGGGCCCAATTGGCAAAAGAAAGCTCAGAACCCTATAAGTTGCAAACACGTGGAAGAGGTCTTCATCCTACAGTGCGAATCTTTTAGAGACCCGGTGCCCAAAAACCAGCCCCGCCCCTGCTCCACCCCCTGCCCCGCCTCCACCCGGCCTGCCCGCAGGGCCACTCACCACCTCCAGGCCCCGCCGCAGATTGCCCAGGAAGCCCAGCAGTGCCATGGCGGCCACGCCCTCTGCCCGTGCCCTGCAGCATCAACTGCACGATCGGGCGTGAGGGCAGAGTCTTGTCTACGCTGCTTGTCTGCCATGTCCTTGGCTGTGCTGCTCCACTTGGGCCACACTCGGGGGTGACTCTCCTCCAGGGGGGCTGCTGGTGAGGAGGGGGTCGCAGGGGGAGGCAAGGCTGGGACAACAGCATGTGTGCCCACAGAGAGGGCTCCAAGTGCCGCCTTTGGCACCCGTGCCATAGTTTCTCCACCACTGCTACAGTGCATAGACAATAGCTAAAATGATGATGATATACAGGTAGTTCTCGATTTAACAACAGTTCGCTTAGTGATGGTTCGAAATTACAATGGCACTGAAAAAAAGTGAGTTATGACCATTTTTCACACTTATGACCGTTGCAGCATCCCCATGGTCACGTGATTTACATTTGGAAGCTTGACAACTGGTTCATATTTATGATGGTTGAGGTGTACCCGAGGCATGGGATCCTCTTCTGACAAGCAAAATCAGTGGAGAAGCCAAATTCACTTAACAACCATGTGACTAACTTAACAACTGCAGTGATTCACTTAACTAATATGGCAAGAAAGGTCGTAAAATAGGGCAAACATTCACTTAACAAATTTCTCACTTAGCAACGTAAATTTTGGATTCAATTGTGGTCGTAAGTTGAGGACTGCCTGTATATTGTGTGTATATGTATATAGATGAAAATATGTATAAAATTACCCTTGCATCTGGGGAGAAAAACCAAGATAATACTTTTATTAGCTCTATCAAAGTTGTAGAATGTCTTGCAATATAAGAATATGAGAATTATATATGTAGTCCTCAGCTTATGATGAATTCTTTAGTGCCCATTAGTGCCAAAGATACTTATGACCAGGTTTCAAAATTATGAAGGGTAGCCCCCCCCCCAGACATATGACCTCACTTTAGATGCTAAGCAACCAGCCTACATTTACAGATATTTGCAGCATCCTGCAGTCTCATGACCGCAATTTACGATTATTTAACTGAAAATCAGCATTTACTGTCAGTTTTTGGCAAAAAAATGCTCCATAGCAAACAATGAGTTTGCTTAATGACCCTATACTCTGTTAGTTTGCTTAACAATCACCTCAAAAAAGGTCATAAGATTGGGTTATGGTGATGTCCTGCTTTACAACCATCATGATTTACAGCTGTAGTAGGCAGCCCCTGTTTTTTTTTAAAAAAAAAAAAAATCCCTAAAACCAAAAGAAATATATTCTGTCTTTCACAAACCTCTTCTTCTCTTTGACAATTTAGAGAAATCTTTGGCTTATCTTGCTGCCAATTTTCTGAAAATTCCTAGCATGCTCTTCCTCCAAACGGCCAAAAGACAGGCAGTCATTTTTCTCTGTGGTCTTTATACAAGTACATACTCTGGGCAGTTCATGCCCTCAAAATGGCAACACAAGGGACTGAAATCAGATATGCCCTCAAAATAGATGGTTGGTGAATTCCTGACCCTGAAGCTAGGCTAGGCTGTGGAAGCAAATGTAAGGAGCTTTCTAGCTGTGTACAGGGAGAGGGAACAGAACAAACAACACCTAAGCTTTGATTTTCTGCTGGACTTCCTAATATAGCAATTCCCACTCCCAGGAGTGGATTGCAACAGCTGCTAGAGAAGTCACTGCTTTACCCACAGAAGTTGTAGGTAAGAATGCACAGGGAGACTAAGCTTCTACCGTAAGGACCATTTTGCCAGCCCAGAATGGGTTACCTTAATTTGGAGTTTGGAATCTGAGCTTTCATTGCTTTAAAAAGAATAAGTGCTTAGTTCTCATAATCATTGGGGGGGGGGAATTGTTGGTATTTGCCAATGGCAGGGTTGTGAATAAGAATTTCTGTACAGGAAGTCCTTAACTTATAACCATTCATTGAGCAACTATTCAAAGTTACAATGGAACAAGTGACGACCAACCCTCACATTTAAGGCCATTGCAGCAAGTCACATGATCAAAATGTGGACATTTGGCAATGTACATAAACTCTATTTATGATGGCCACGGGCAGTGATAAGATTCAAATATGTGAACAACCAGTTCTCTGTTTGGATGCCACTTCCGGAAGTCCATTCTGGGCCTGAGCAACAAAAAATTAGCTACCGGTTCTGCCGAAGTGGTGCAAATCGGCTGAATCCCACCACTGGTTGCAGGGTCCTGGAGTCATCTGATCGCCATTTTGCAAACTTCCCAGCCAATTTCTGACAAAGTCAATGGGAGAAGCCTGCTTCGATTATCAACTGTGCAATTTATTTAACAACTGCAATGATGTTCTTAAGAACCATGGCAAACAAAGTTGTTAAAATCAGGCAAACTCAACAACCGACTTGCTTATCAATGGAAATTCTGGTCCCAGTTGTGATTATAACTGGTGCCTTCTTTAAAATGGTGCCTTCTGTTTTTTTCCATTATTATATGCTACTTGCCAGCCGCTCATAATATATCCCAATGTCCTCATGTTCCTTTAATTCTCACAGTAAACATGCATACATATGGAACCTACGTTCCATGCACATGCTTCAGACGGTGAAACTAGAATTCGATATGCTGAAACAAAATAGATCAGCCAGTTTTATTGACAACCCCAGCATTTTCCTGGCTCTGCACAGATCAGTTACTTTGGTTTTATGTTTTCCATTGTAGTTATTTGTAGCTTTAGGGTGGAGCTTTATACTTTGGGCTCTGTGCCCCCCTTCCCTATATATTACATGTGATGTGGTGGCTTTCATTTCTAGTATTCCTAGCAAAAATCAGTCACAGAATAAGAAACTTCTCTATCCTGGTGTCTTAGAGAATTTGGGGGGGGGGGGACTAGAATATGCTCCCTTATGTGTGTCCTGTCATTTTCCTGGAATAGAAGAGCTGTTCTCTCCCAGGTTTTGGAAAAGATCCAGGGGTACAGCTGTGGCAGCTGTCAGGGTGTGGAGGGACCAAGAATCTGCTGGGACAGCACGTAAAGATCAATGCTATGCCTGTCTGGGGCACTGAGTAGGAAAGGTAACTATGCTTCCTCTCAATATGTCCCAGCTATAGGACTGTGCAATGCTCAGAGCTAGCTAACATCAGTGGCTTGTTAATAAAGGGTTAACTAGTCCTTCCCCCCCCCCCCCACTCCTTAAGTTTGACATTCCCCAGCAAGGAGGAATTTTCCAGGCCTAAATTCATCTCCTACCAGCAACAGCCCTTTTTCCAAGTTTGGAAAACACTGGAAGACTGGAAATTGCAACAGCATGAAAGAGAAAGCAGAATCGAGCAAGGAAGACGGGAAAGGTAGGTTCAAGTAACTTGAGCTTACTTGTGAATGCTGTGCAGCATTTATGACAGAGAATGAGTATAACTTAGACCATCGGAAGCTATGGGAAGAAAGACAGAGCTGGGAGGGAGAGGAAGAAAAAGCAAAGAGAAACATGAGAGGAGGAAACATTAAGGGATGAGTGTGCTGAGAAGGGAAAGAATGTGCAGGATTCAAATCTTTCTTTCATTGTCCATGAATTGGATCACTGCATCAGATCTCCAGTTAGGATAGTGAAAATCGTACAAGTTGCTTCATAGTATTGTAAAAATTAGGATCAGTTAATTAAAAAAATTACCCGTCATGAACCACCACCACAGTATTTATCTGTGGAACATCATGCTCTTTATAGTGTAAAAAGAATTGTTGCGTTTTGCAATTTGGCAATAGCAGAACCTTTACTGAGTGCTCTAAAAATAGGAAGAAGGAAACTAGGATTAAAACATTAATTAGGTCATTAATGACTGGCTACTAGCCAGCTAATCAATTTAGTAGTATTTTAAGCTGGAGTAGATGATCTACCCTAGACAATTTAGCAGATTTATCTGCATGCACAGGAATACACACACATTTATTTGTGGAATAAATGTCAGAATATAATCAGCATAAGATTGTTGTATCTGGACAATAATAAAATAATGGTGCATCACTTTAACAATAAATAGATGATTGATTGATAAGCAATCTGCAAATTGTTAACATTAGAATTTAAAAAAAACATTCTTGAGGAATATATTTCATTGACTTAGTAGTGATTATTTAAGTGATGATTACTTCTAGTTAAAATCACTGCTGAGATTATGTTTATTCAAAGTTGTATTTTACCATGGTTTTTTTATTGCCATAATTTTTAATTGTTTTGGTGCTTGTTTTTAATATTACATTATTGCCTGCTCTTAGGGTTTTTAAAACACCTTTAAATAGAAAATTTTAGCTATCAGGAGCCTCCCAATGAATGATTGACTGAAAAGATTAATTGTATAAATGAGTCAGAAAGATACATTTTCAGGATAAAATAGGGTTAGGCAGGAAGATATATCTCTCTTTGAAAGGAGAAAGGGGTGCACACTACAGAAGGTGCATTCCTCACAAAACTTGTAAGGAGAAAAAAAAGCAGAAAAACTATTTAGGTATAGCTGATTTAAGAAAGTAGAAGTTAACTATTATTTAATCTTAAATATTAAAAGAGAAAAGACAAATAGTAAAAAGGAAAGTTGTCAGGGATAAGTGTGAAAGGGGGAGAGATAAAGGGGGAGGATGATACTGAACAGGAAGGAGGTGCTATGAATTAGTGAGGGTGGCAGGCACGGATGGAGAACTGAGAGGCAAGGAAAGGCAAGAGAGAGAGAGAGAGAGAAAGAAAGAAAAAGGGGGAAAAGAGATGGCGTGAGTGTGGCTGGGAAGAAGAGTGATACAGCTAAGTCCTCCCTGGCACCTGCCCCAGCTTTCTCTCCCCTCCACCATCCCACTGGTGCTGAGCCACCACCATCTGTTGCTTGGAGCGGAGTGAGTGGAGGACAGTACGGGCAGGATGGGGGCTCCACCAGAAGGTAGGTTTTCCAGCCAGAAGCAAAATTGCTCAATGGGCATTTGTAGAAGTGGGGTGGGGGGAAGAAAGGGATGGGCCCATAAAATGGAAAACTTGGGATGCACTCAGAGAGTGGTTGGGGAGTGTTCAGCCTTCTTCAAACTGTACCTTCCACATAGGTTGAATTGTAGCCCCTATCGTATCCAGTGGGCCAAGGATGATGGGAATTGTAATCCAGAACACCTGAAGGCCTTTTCCAGGCTGGGGAGAGTTGGTGTCCATTTCCATGCCTGTGATTGTTATGCAGAGTAAATGGAGAAAAAGTTTATAAGGTAGATTTTACTATAAAATGGAGTGCAAATGAAGAGACCTAATTACTTTAAGTCAAGGAAGAGGTATTATTTGTTCTTGTTCCCCAAATATTGTCCCCAGTCTTGTATAAAAGACCACAGGCTTTTGGAGAACCTATGAACATTTTTTTGAAACAGTTTACAAAAAAAATAAAAATAAGGGGATATCTGTCTGTATGCTTGATGGAGGATAGAGTCCAAAATTCAGCTTTATTTTAATTATTCTTACATTGTTTTTGTTTTTTTTTCCTCTATTAAATTTTTATTGCCTTTCCTCCAAAGAAGTCTGGGTGGCTTCTGTGGTTCTCTCTCCTCTCCATTTTATCCTGACCACAACCCAATGACAGGAAGGAAAAGCTAAGAGAGAATGCAGCATGGAGGTTTATAAAGCAAGACTATAATTTGTGGGGCTGATATGGGAGAGGGGGCAGGAGAGAGAGATGGCTGCTTGTGGTAGCTAGAATGGCTGGGACTGTAGATGACAGTAGGACAGTATTTCTCAACCTTAATAGCTTGAAGATGTGTGGACTTCAACTCCCAGCATTCCTTAGCAAGCATGCTGGCTGGGGAATTCTGGGAGTTGAAGTCCACACATCTTCCCAGTGGACAATTCTTAGCACTGCTTGTTAAAAATATTATGTAAACGAATGGATTTTCGGGGGGGGGGGGTTAAAGATGAAAGAACCAGTATGAAATAATTGAAGGGATATGTGCAGAAGTTCCTGAGTATACAAAAAAATTGTGGGGTTTCAATCACATATTGGTGGCTGCCATCGTGACTTTTTGGACACCCCCCCAACCCGCATCCATTGTTACATTGGAAGGTTGGACTTGCTTTTCAATAAAATTGGGTAAGAAAAGCCCCTTCTAGGAAAGCAGTATAGAGAGATTGGTGGGTTATTGCATTTTAAGCAAGATCTGGTTGTGTAAATTATTTTAGTTTGATTTGGATAAACTTAGTAAGTCCTGATCATACATTGATCGGGAAAGCTGCCATAATTAATTTTTCTACTTGTAACTGTAAGAAACAGTCCCCAAATTAGCTTTCCCCCACTCTTTTCTCCCCATTCCTCTGCTTTGTATAATATACGTCCTCTTGGTTTATTCATCAAAAGACAGGGAATATCCCACAACCCATATCTATAAGCCAATTTGGGAGCATTTATTTTTCCTTAATGAACAGGGAAGAAATTAGTAATGATTCATACGATCTGAAACCAAAACAGAACTGAAGTAATAAACTTTAAACAGCTTTGAATGACTTGGAACTGAGTGTCATGGACAGTTGGGGTGCCAGTTCTTTCATTCTGAACCATCGAAGAAAATTTGGGTAGATCTTGGAAAGCCAGCAAGTCAGTTCCTAGAATTTACTTTCCCTCCACCCTGCTGTGGGAAATAAAGAGACAGCCTCCATTTGGCAATTTTGACTAGTTTTTTTTTTTTTTAACCCACTTTTTTCTTAGCTGGATGGAAAACTGCAGGCAGTGCAGCCAAATCTGAGAGGCAGAGAGGAGCCATTTCCCTTAGAGCAAATCCTGAGCCATCTTTGCAGTCCAGCCCTTGCCAACTCCAGCTGGGAACTGCCTTCTCTTCCCTCTTCTTATTTTCCAGGGTGGTTTTTTTTTAAATTTTTTTTTTTTTTTTTGGCTTGTGGAAAAAGCAATTGGAGCCAAAATAAAATTAAATTGCAGTGCTGGATCTCAGTGTTAGAAGGGGAGTTTAATGTAATCCTAGAGGCTATAATGAATAGAAAATGGAATAAAAGGCCATTCTGTCTACCCCAATAATGGATCCTGGATGAGGAGTAACTTTGGTGGGACTGAGGTAGATGAAAAATTGCCATTAAGAGAAATGATAAAGTACTTTTGAATTATATTTTAATTAACAGGAGTGATGTTTTGAAAGCATTAACTAATATTATAAACTGGCTGAGTGTGATGACCTGTGTGCAATTCTATGAAGAAAACATTTTACAAGAAGTGTCAACTGAAAGTCATAGATGGTGTAAGATATTACCCGTGTAGGGCCATGTGGTAAGATAGTCATTTGTGTGAACTTCTCCTTTTCCTATGTGTGTGGTCTCAAGATATGAACTTCTCTCTTTTAGTATGTTAAAGGTAGATAAGAAGTCATCCCTTGGGTAAAAGCATGGGTGACAACCTGTATAAAAATGACACCCTGGAAGTAACTCAGGGTTCAGAATTTGTCATATGAATACTCTGAACCTTTGCGCAAATAAAACCTGTTTTCTCCAACCCTTCGTGGTCTTGTCTTCTGATGTAAGTATCGTGGTTTTTCCACTACAATTATCTGGTGACCACGGCAGGATGGCAAGGAGTCTTGGGGCTCTCTGGAGGGCACACCCTGGTGCCAGGGGCCTGTAGTGTTAGGGGGAACATCCCAGGCACCATCGGACCTTTTACTCTGAGGGACCTCCCTGTGGTGCAGGGCTCCAGCAGCGGTGGTCAGCCACTTCAAGAACCACAGGTGAAGGGGAAGGAGACTAGGATACCTTCTAGCTGGCCAGAGGACGGGAGATTGGCCTGCAGGCAAGTATTGGATGGAGAAAAAGAAATTCCTCCCTGTTAACAGGGACGGAGGAGAGGACTGATCACCCTCTCTTTGGAATAAGGTGGGAGGATTGTTGTGAGTGTTTGCTGTGAAAGGCTACTGAGTTTCCCAAAGGTGACCGTGAGTGTCCGACACCCTGGGCCAGTAGTGAGTGAGTGGCATTCGCAATTCCCATTGGAGACCGTGATCTTCTGGCTCCCTGGGTCGAGCGTGAACAAGTGTAAATCCCAATGTTATCCTGAGTGGAAGCACCCCTTACCTTCCTCTCATCCCTTTTCCTCATTTGTCTTGTCTGGTGCCCTGGGAGGATCATGAGGGGTGGTGAAAGTGTGCCCCTCATTCCGTTGAGGTGTATGTTAAAGCATTTTAGTTCTGCTTATGGGACCCAGGACTACGGTATTAAGTGGAGCAGGCATAAGTTGAGGATTTTTTGTGAGGTAGACTGGCCAAGCTTTAATGTAGGCTGGCCAGGCACGGGGACGTTAGATCTGTCTGTTGCCTTAAAAGTACATCAGCTAGTGTTCCATCC